TGAACACTTTTCTGGCACTGCTGCAAGACTGATGAAAAAATTTTAGTGCATCTTGCAATCAAAAGGAAATTCAACAAATGAAATGGCCTGCAACGCCTGATCACCTACCCGATCTCGCTTGGCTATAAATTATGTGAAATAGCGCGTCTCTCTGATTAGGTGGCCGAAAACTTGATATATCGAACGATTTATTCACTAATCAACGAGTAAGATCTGATAATTGTTGTGTTGCAGGAGATTTGTCTGATTGAAATTTGATTTGATTTGATCATGAAATTTACAAGAGTTTCAGCGAAAGCCTGTCTCTCCAGTCCGGGATCTGAATCTGCCGTAAATCTCGAGATCAAATCAAATCGAATCTCAAATCAGACAAGTCTCTTGCAACATAACAGTTATCATCCTTACTCCTCGTTCGATTTACAAACATTTTCGGCCATTTAATCGGAAAAACGCGCTATTTCACACGATTTATAGCCAAGCGAAGTCGGGTAGGCGACCAAGCGTAGCAGACCTACCCGATGCGTGGCCGGGCTCCTGCACGGCAAGCGCCCACTTCGCACATCATGGGCGGGGGCGCCCGCGTCTGACTGGATTATGACCTGTACGGGAACGCTGATCTGGATGGGAGATTGATCATACCGACTCTTGTAAGCGTTAGGCACAGGGTCAAGCAAGGGGTGTGGCACACGACGCTGGTTACGACCCCCCCCCCCCCCTGATTGCAGTCTTAATTAATAAGACCCCCCCCCTGAACTATACACTTAAGATAGCATTACTTGAAGGCCCTGTCAAACATAACGGGCAACATATCCATAATTAGCATGTCAATTAACCCCCGTAGACAAAGTGTGAGCGAATTCTGAAGATTCAAGATACTAGGCTACCTAAATGAAATGGTCAAATTCCAACATGGTTAACTTTGTTTCTAAGGTGAATTAGCTATCCGTTTTTGCACTCAAGACAAAGCTCTACTCCTTCTTTGTCCACCTCAGGAATCCCGCTTTAGAAGACCTGCAAACTGTGGAATTAGAAGCCAACCAAAATCTCGTTTTTCCCATTTTTCGCTCTTGATCGCTGTGCTTTCACCAAATATTACTCAGAGCTAAGAAGACGAATCAGGCTCCAAACAGTCCTACGGAACCTACAAGGTTTAGGCTATGCAGCACCCCATTAGCCATATCAAAAAAAAAAACATTTTCAGCGGACAGTATTTATATGAATCGATAGCCTAAACCTTGTAGATTCCAAAGGACTGTTTGGAGCCTGATTCGTCTTCTTAGCTCTGAGTAATATTTGGTGAAAGCACAGCGATCAAAAGCGAAAAATGGGAAAAACAAGATTTTGGTTGGCTTCTAATTCCACAGTTTGGAGGTCCTTTGAAGCGGGATTTCTGAGACGGACAAAGATGGAGTAGTGCTTTGTCTTGAGTGCAAAAACGGATAGCTAATTCACCTTTGAAACAAAGTTAACCATGTTGGAATTCGACCATTTCATTTAGGCCCCGGACAGACTCCACGCGGTTTGATCGTCGCCACTGAATCGCGACGAGACAACTGTTACAACATCATTCCATGCCGATCAACTTGCATTTCGTTTGTGATACTTTTCCAGCCCGAAATTTTTGAATGTGAAATGAAAATGAATGGAAATGTCGGCGATTGAGTCACGACGATCAAATCGCGTGAAGTCTGTCCGGGGCCTTAGGTAGCCTAGTATCTTGAATCTTCAGAATTCGCTCACTCTTTGTCAACAGGGGTTAACTGACATGCTAATCATGGATATGATACGAATATCATGTTATCACTATTATCAGATTACTCAACTACGACCCCCTCCTCTTTTGACTCTTCAATACGACCCCCTCAGGTGTGGCGTGCCGCACACCACGCTTGATCCTGGTTAGGCATATTCAGATGAAAAGTTCCAGAATGCTTCCACAACAAGAAACAAAGAAGTGCAGTCTCGAACGAGATTATAAGATTCACATAAAAAGTTATCGAGATTGTTAGAATGCTGCCCCTATTGTTTGAAACATACTCTCAACAGCAATTCATAGATGAAATTACACCCACTCCACAATGGCTGCAACAGCTGCTGCGCTGCTGCAGCCATTGTGGGGTGGGTGGAGTCAGAATGGTAACGAAGCAGTACGAAACAACCCCTTAAAGGCACCGTCCACCCAGATTTTCGACTTCTACGTTTTTGTCGTTTCAGGAACTTCTCATGTCCTGATTCCGAATATGAAATCGAGAATGCGCAAAAAGCCCAATAATCTCCGTTCCAGAGAACACACAGGTCGGCTTTCCGTAACGGTGATTGGATGCGCGCGCACAAATGGGCGGGCATGGATGGAGGAGGGCGGACATGGATGGGGGCCTCGTGCATTTTCGCTATTCCGAAGTGATTTTCTCGCTTACGAAGCGACATTTTGCGCCGCGACTTGGCATTGGATTGATAGAGGACCTTACTATAATATGCTGCCAAAAGCTCAACACCCTCAACTTAGGGTGGACGGTGCCTTTACCACTCCCTTTGGCCAAAGAAGGAAGGTATAACGAGATGTCTCCTCACTTCCCACCGTTCTCGCTATCTCCTACGGTGAGCCATCTTCTTGTTGTTCTTAAGTTTGGCAAGAACTTACAACAGACAAAACAATCAATACAAGAACGAACCCAAATATTTTCACAATGTTTGTTGTTCCTTACAAGGGAAGGATGATCGGTCGAAGTGGCCATTTGGAATGAGCTGTATATTAGGGAAAAGTCCCCGGTAAGGCAAACTCAAAACTATTTTCGCTAGGTGCCGAGCGGTTTTGTGGGGGGAGTTACAAGGCCATTTTCCTCCTGCGCAGCCGGCACATCCAGTGATGAGCGAGGCGCTAGAACAACGCGTTAGTGTGACGGTGGCGCAGTGGCAAGACAGTGGGCTACGAAGCAGATGGTCGAGAGTTCGAGTCCTGTTGCTGCTAATTTGTTTTGCAGTTCTATAAAAAGTCTATTGGGTGACAGTAAACGAAAAATACATTCTTGCTCGCGAGCCCAAACTAAATAGCAAGAATGAGAAATTATCTATAACTAGTGACATGATGCCGTACTGTAAACTATAAGATTGTGGGCCCTACTTGAGCGGCCCCACAGTAGCTTGGGTACTCATTTGACACCGCACTCGACCAAGCACATCCGGAGCGGCTGTCAGCTACAACATCGGTGATATACTTGGTGGGTGGACCATCGCCCCCAAACTCCCTGCTTCCACTCAGGACGAATCGAGTAGCAAGTCGGTGGAGATATTTGGCGGCGGAGATCATGTATCAATGTGATTTACGCCTTTTCAGCCCCTGAAGACGGCGTCTTGCCGAAACGTCGGGCAATAAAATATAGCATAATATAACAATTAAAATTATTCACCTGCGAGAACATGCCAAGGTTCAAAGACAAGAGGACTTACAACATAATCGAAAAATACCCATTTCTAGGCAGTTAAAACAAGTTATTTACTGCTTTATATGGAATACAACCACAAAATGCTCAAAGCAGAAGAGCTTCTCGCAGCGCGCGCACTTGCAAAATTGCAATCCATTCACATCCCAGGTATTGGCTCTCGGTCTGAAATTCCATCCTCAAGACTTTATCGCTCATTTACACACAGTTTTGCTCGCCGCGATTCAAACATTTCCTTTCATACCCATGGCATGCAGCCGGATACATTGATAACCACCCCGGCGAATTCGAGTCTCCTATTCAGTACTGTTTTTCATCGACTTTGATAGGCAATTGGAAGCTGCTGATTGTTATCGTTCATATTTTATCCGATGTGCGCGCTGTTTTTCTGCATTATTTTGTGGTTGTATTCCATACATGTTAATATATCATTTGAATCCCTTGTTGTGACATCATAACCTCCACAGATTTACATATTGTAGAAGATTATGGCTTATTGTAGAAATAGTGATTTCCTTGCAGTAACTAGCTTGTTTTAACTGCCTAGAAATGAGTACTTTTCGTTTACTGTCACCCAAGACTTATTACAGAACTGCAAAACAAAGTAGCAGCAACAGGACTCGAACCTTCGACCATCTGCCTCTGACCGCCGTCTTGCCACTGCGCCACCGCCCACTCCCCCCCGCTGTTCTAGCGCCTCGCACATCGCTGGGTGCGCCGGCTGCGCCGGAGGAAAATGGCCTCGTAACTCCCCCCCCCCCCCCCCACAAAACCACTCGGCACCTAGCGAAAGTAGTTTTGAGTTTGCCTTACCGAGGACGGTTCTCTAATATACAGCTCATTCCAAATGGCCACTTCGACCGATCATCCTTCCCTTGTTAGTTGAAAGCCAGAATCTAAAATCTCTATGCTCGAAAAATCGAGCAAAAGAATATATTCGTTCAGACTGCTTCTTACTAATGCTTCTTACTTGCTCAGGCATATACTCTCCACACTGAGATTTATATGTATACATTTGCTGTTTGGATGAAAACAAAAGATCAATATATACAACAAAATGCGAAAACATCGACTACTTCGGTTTTCAAATTCAACTGATTTGAACAAAAAGTAACCTTTGCAGGAGGTGAAAATCCATGAATATGCTCCCAAAGATTTACGCTATACAAATATCTATGTAGGAACAGCCCAGCACAACCTTCGCAAATGCATGAGGATTAATGTTTTTTCGTTTTCCAGCCATGCACAAACATGAGCAAGTACAGATGCTAGATTTGAAGAGTACATGCCTGAGGAAGTACGCTGTTCGTGGGATTTTCTTCAGTGGGAATACGACTTTTCTTGATTTTTCGAGTGTTCAAATGACTTTAAATTTTGGGCCGAACATTGGTTGGAACAAACTTTGTGTAAGGGTTTGAATAGTATCGTGTAGAGCTTGTATGACTCCATCGAAAGGTACGTTGAAACCTATACAAGGAGCAGAAGGATATGACTTGTCGCGGGGGATGAAAATGGCAAAAATTATAGAGAGACAAATTAATAAATACGAAGATTGCAAACCTCGACACTCCTTCCTAGTCTTCTGCTCGTCCCCCTCACTGCTACTACTACTTGTTTCATCTTCACTCGTTGTAATCACCCTAGCTTCTTCTCTGCGTGTCAAAGGTGCTACTGCATCTCCACCATCGAGCTTGAGGCGACGGACTGCAGCTGCTTTACGAATGGATTTCAGTGGAGCTGCTCCCTATAATGATAACAATTCCAGCAGTTACCTGCTTGCACGAATTACGCTAACTCGATTTTTTCCCCAACCCAAAAGAACATGACTGCAAGGCCTCGAAAATAATGAAGGAAAACCGCACATTTCTGGAAATGCAGGAGAAACCATGTGCCTGGGTCCAAAAAAAAACCATAGCGCGAACACTGCTGGGAAAATTCGTCAAAGATCCAGGAAAATGGCAAAAAGTTCAAAAACCCTGGGCAATTCCTCGTGAAAGCGCTCAAAGAACAGCTCGAAAGATATAAACTTCTCCTACAAAACATGTGCTCCACTCCCAGCCGATTCAAAACTCTTGTAACTCCGACCGGTACCTAGGCCTTACGTGGATAATTCATTACAAAATTCATATTCACTTAATACCGATTGACAAAGAAAAGATCTTGCAACATATAACGATAAGACTTTGATTTTCGAGTGTATATGCGCGATGGGAGATGACAATGTACGAAAACTTGCAAAACTTGTGTGAATCAAGAGTGTGCCTTTTTAAAATGGCCCCATGCACCTGTGACGTATTCACCAACAAACCCAATGAGTAGGCTTGACCTACAAGACCTGTACTAAAGTTAGTGGTTTCCGAACCACAGAAAATCTACCTAGCCGATAGAACAAACCCAAATTGCGGACATGTTGCCTTCACGATTACGGACACTGACGAGCCAGCGTCCTAGAAAAAGCAAAAAACATAACTTTCCCCTACTTTCAGGATTCCCCAAACCTTAAGAACTCGCAACCGCCTTCACAATTTCAAAAGTTCGCGCAGGGCGCGGAGAGTGCGCAAGGTGTGTATTGCGCGTCACTCCCTTTTCGTGCACTCTCGCCGCCTGTTTCCTCTGCGCTTCTTCCATCACGAACTTTCTTCAGTGGGCGCAACAGCGTTGCTTTCCATGCGCAGCGCGGACGGCCTATAGCCACCGGACCAAGAAAGAACAAGTGTAAGTTGTCTAGACAGAGTGTGCAAATCGAGTTCGAGCCTCTTTATTAGAGAATGAACTAGATGGCTAAAAGGCAGCGTCCGGAGATATGAAATTTTAGCGTACAGAGGCTCCCGTCATGGTAAAGCCCTTGCCCAACTGGCAGTCCACTAACTTGCTTCTGAAGCGAGAAAACCGCATCAGAGGTGGAGACCGGGACGCCCCGGCGACCTGCCCGCCCCCTCAATCGATAGCCGGAGTGCGTATAGTAGACGTCATGCGTCTAGTCACCTCGGTGCGATGAGTGTCACTGTGCACAATCTTGAAATCCCGGATGAGGTGCTGGGCTCCCGCCGTGCCGTACTTGCACCAAGTGCGCACACGGCTAAAATTCGACGCCAAACAGCCCGTTTTTTTCATTTCGATGTATTCTTTTGTTTTTAGCTGCATGCACGGTCTAGTTCTCAATGATTAGTTAGCTTTACACTCGTGCATGCCGTTTTAGGATATCTCAAAAGTTATCACTTCTGCTTACAGGTAAGGGAGGCCCATGGGCAATCTGCAGGATTGTGAAGTAAGGTGCTTTTCAGTAAAGTCGTATGTAGAAAGAATAGAGTGACAATACGAGTCTCAACTTCTTTTTGATTGTTATCAAAAATCCTGATTTTTTGTGCCGAGTTTCAATGAGAAGCTGTTTTCAAACAAAGGATTGCTTCCAGCAGAAATTTTCGCTGTTAATGCGATGTTTGTGAATTCTATGGATCTTATTCAGCATCGCAAAGCACACTTACTTCACAATCCTGCAAGATTGCCCATGTGCCTCCCTTACCTGAAAGCAGAAGTGATAACTTTTGAGATCTCCGATCTAAAACGGCAATGCACGATTGTAAAGGCAACAAACCACTGAAAACTAAACCGTACATGCAGCTAAAAACAAAAGAAAACATCAAAGTAGAAAAAAAACGGGCAGTTTGGCATCAAATTTTAGTTGTATGCGCACTTGGTGCAAGTACGGCACGGCGGGAGCCCAACACCTCATCCATGATTTCAAAATTGTGTGCAGTAATACACATCGCACCGAGGTGACCAGACGGATGACGTCTACTATGTGTCGCACATATTCAAGGCGTAGGGTCCCACCGCGACCCTGCGTCTCAACCTCGGCGGCAAACCTCCATATTCGAGATCAACAGCCTCTGGAATAGCCCATTTTCGACATTTTCGTACTCTGCAAGCTGCATTTTCGCAATCAGCGGGAAAATAAGCCCAGGTAAGCGAAAATAATTTTCTCGAAATTTTGCACGGACGCTGCCTTTAAAGGCAGTGGACAAGCACAAAAGACCCTTCTCAAATTTTCCATGGATTCAGGAAGTAGCACCCTCCCCCCCCCCCCAAATACACTATATCCCAAACCCCACCTGCCAATTCATGCGCCAAGTCCTGGAAATGCGCTTCAAAACTTCACCAGCCCCGCCCATTCAATGGAAATGGGCGAGGCTGGTGAAGTGCATTTTCCAGGACTTCGCGCATGAATTGGCAGGTGGGGGTTGGGCTGCAATGTACTTGGGAGGTCTACTGTCTAAATCCATCAAAATCCGAGAAAGGTCCATTCTGCCTGTCCACTGCTTTTAACCGGTTCCGCTCGGCCCTGTCAAAACACTATTAAAGGTCCTAACCCTATCCCTGTACAACCTTTCCCTGTGCCCATTTTCACGTACCAATTCCCTATCCCCAATGCGTTTAGTGAACATGCTCACTTCCCCTTTCCCCTCCGTGCCGACTCCCAGCCCCGTAGCTCGAACTTTGAAAAAAAAACGATGGAATCGATAAGAGTAACGGATAATTTCAAAAACTAATACTTTATTCGTAATCATGATGCACGATTACACCCTGTGCCAACTCCCAGTTCCGTGGCTTAAACTTTGCAAAGATCGATAAAAATCGATATTGAGATGACGGAAAGTAGCCTATGATCCGCCCCTCTCCGAAGTGTATGTGTAAGCCGCCAAGTTTGATCCGGATAGGTTCCGAATGAAAATTTCTGTTCGGAATATGACCTTTGATTCAACTTGGCGGCTGGAAGGCGGGGCTTTGTGACCTAATTAAGGCCGCTCGCGCCCGCTAACAATCTGCGTCTCTCTCGCGCGCATGCTCTCTGATCATTATCTCGCCTCAATTGGGTCACGAAGCCTCACCCTCCAGCCAAGCCAGCTGAATCAAAGGGTAAATACAGACAAACATACAAACAGATATTCAGCTTTATATACAGGGTGTTCAAAAAAGTGAACACTGTTTGATCGCTAATTCTTGCTTTCACGTCTTTCGCCGAGCATGAGGTGCAATTTAGTAAAAGCGAGTTTCAACATAAATTTACAGTGAGAGAATCATAATCACTCTTCATTACTATAGGATAACCTCGAGAAGGATTTTAGAAAAAACAAGCCAGAAGCTCTTGTACGGGAGTATTCAAAGTCGCTGATTCGCTAATTCTAGATATAATTGCAATTCACTGTAATGCTTCTTTTATAAGTTATCTCAGGTTTAGGGCAACGATTGTTTTTCCAATGTTCGTCAGATGTGTGAATACACCATGAAAAAAGCTCGAAAAGCTGGTAGAAAGTTATGTAGTGAAATCAGCACGCCTGAAAACCTTGCTATACAAATTTCTGGATTTTTTGGAATTTTTTCATCAAAAGACCTATTCCAGAGTTACGCTATACGTTGAAAGCTCATACCGTAATCCTAAATAAAGAGTGATTGGTGATTCGCTCCATACTGCACATCCATGGTGAGCCTCGACTCTACAAATGGTACCTCAAGCTCGCGAAAGACGTAAAAGCAAAAGAGTTATTAACGATCAAACAGTGTTCACATTTTTTGGGACACACTGCATAAGACTTGCCGACGTAGCACAAGCATGACAGCATTAATTCGACCAAAATCACACGAAAATGTTCCGATACCTTTTTTATTGTGCTGCCAACGGCAGCAAGAGACACCCCCGTTGGAGTGCTAGTAATCGTTGAGCTTTGATTAGGCGATGAAGGAGATATCACAGGAGATCGAACACCAAAGTCCTTCGAAGGAGTATACACAGATGGATTCCACTAAAGCAAACAATCATTGAAAAGCGCTTCCTACTATTAGAGTATCGTTGCCAAAAAATGGTCTCAAACTTCTAAAGCGAGCAATAGCAAAATCAATGAAAAGAACGCATTCGAGAGAAACTTTGCAAATGTGGCCAAGAGTGATCGCAATATCGGCTTTTGAAGGTGCAAATGAAGATGTAAACTCACTTTCAACGCAGATTCCTTTAGCCAGATTCTCGACTTATCAGATTTGACTTTCTTCCAGTGCGCGTCAATCATTGTCCAGTTGAAAATCAAAGCAAGGCTAAAGACAAAGTTACTACATCGACGTTTATTCATAGGCAGCATCGGGAGCAGACCATGCTAGGGTACAAGAACTGATACTACCGTTAGGTTCCACCCTCAAAAAATAGTCCTGGCAGATTAAGCACCGCATGTGCAAGAGACCAGCTTTGCTACCGCCTATTGGCAGTATTGATTGCTTAAAGGCAGTACATCGGCAGAATGAGACCCGTGACAAAACAAGGTCACAGGGTAGGAGCCCCCATGTGGAACCTATCGGCCAAAGTCCAATCTTTCTCTGCCACTTCTAACCCCCGAAATTTCAAAGCGAAAGCAGCGCTCGTCTCCTGTCCTTTCCGAACCCGCCCACCCATGGACGAGTGACTTCCGCGGCCAGAGCGCCAGCCGCAATGCTATAAGCATGAAGTTCGCAATGACTCTGCGTCTTCGCCATGACGGGCTTCGCGTTCACTCGTCCATAGGGTGGGCGGGTTCGGAGAGGACAGGAGATGAGCGCTACTTTCGCTTTGAAATTTCGGGGGTTAGAAGTGGTAGAGAAAGATCGGACTTCGGCCGATAGGTTCCATATGGGGGCTCCTACCCTGTGACCTTGTTTTGTCACGGGTCTCATTCTGCCGATGTACTGCCTTTAACGCGGGTACTGATTCGCAGGGACCTTTCTGACATGAGACAGTCGATAGAGCTTGCATTGCTGATGTCAAAACTGCCGTCGATAGTTGCACAACCGATTCAGGTAAGCAACATTTGCCTACTAAACATGCATTTTGGGATTACCTGTGATCACGCAAATCTTTATTGCTTGTTGCGCACTACTCAATGACAAGAAAGAAGAACAAAAATTGCATCAAGCACCGATGAGTGGTTCAATTAAGTTTAAGCCGAAATGCATTAGGTATTGATAGTTCGGGCCACTCTCAACCTTGTCATTCTTTACAAGTTAAAGTCAGTAAATCCGCATCCAAATTCTGTAGCTTTGAAAGGCAGGTTTGGAATCAGCGTTATAACCTGCTTTAGTCAGTACCCATCTCATGAAAGGCCACTGCATACTCTTTGAGTCAAAGCCCAGCTCCCACTGCGATCTCTTTAATCTAATATCTAATATCTAATCTAATATAAAAAGAATCGCTAACTCAATTCAAAAATGCAAACAGCGGGGAACTGCGTGGCGGTCCCAGCAAACGCTCTTCCAACAAGCACCTTTAGATTACTGGTTCACTAGAGACAAATCGGTGTAAAGATTCGACCAGTAATCCCACTTCAGATAAATTCCAAACTATGACTTACGAGCAACAAAGTCTTGTCTGTCTCATTCTCGCTTTTAATACCTCAGACAAGAAACGAACGCGGTGTCCTTTAAACTATGTGGCGAAAAATGCATCGCCAGACGGTTGAGACCACAGATTTGGTTGGCCTAAGAGGTTTTCGACATTCTGAGCACTAAAATGGTACCATACTCAATGGCAATAGCCTTTAATCAACTCGGAATGTTTTCTTTTTGCTTTTTTATTATATTAGATACCTCAAAATGTGTTTAAGCTTTTTTATTGTTATTTTGATTGCCTAAGGTTTCTACTGATCTCTGATCTTTACGTCAAAAGGGACTTCGTAAATTTTCGCAAAGTCATGGGGTACTTCGTTTCCCAAATGCTCCAAACCAACGCATGCCGGGTCCTGTCTATCATACTCTGAAGAGAGCTAATCAAACCATTGACTCTCCTCTTTTTGGAGCCAAAAATAGTATAGATAAACGCATTGATAGATATGGCGCTCCGATCACATGCCTGCCAAGGCGTCCTTTAAACTGGCGACAATTGTGTGTGTTGTTTTTGTTTTCTTACTAGTTTTTACGTCAGTGAGGGTTTTGTAAGGATTTGCGAAGTCATGGGGGACTTCGTTTTCACAAAACCTCACCAACGCATGCCGAGCCCTGGCGATGAACTATTATTTGATTATCAGCCAAGATGAAGTGAGATTTCGGGTTTTCTAGCGCTTTTTGCGCTGAGCGCGTTTCAACAAGGTTTGACGAGGATCTAACCAGGGGCGGTATGCAACAATCGCCCGTCCGGGTAAGTTACCCGGACAAGTAGTTTCCGCTTCATAGCTTGGTGCGTGAAGATACGTGGTCGTGGCGTTTCCATAGGCGAGGGACATACCTCACGTGATTTCAGTCGCCACGCGATCTGGCAATTTGCCAGATGTTTTCAAATTCAGTACTGGTAGACCCCAAATGTACAGCATGTATAGCTTTCGTAGGTTGGTAAAATGCCCCATCTTCCGTACATTCGGAAACCCCGTACGATGAGTTATGAACGTTTGGAGTATTGCCAAATCGCGTCGCGACTGAAATCGCGTGAGGTATGTCCGAGGCCATAGGAAATACATACTGTCTTATAAAGCATGAAACGCTAATTCCGAATCTACTTTCGCTATCTGCACAGCCAATTTGAGAGGGGAGTTATGGAGATTTTTTGAAGGAAAAATTTCAACGCATAGCTACAATGAAATCATTCACAACTGCAGTTTTTGGGCTCAAGTGTGGCCTTATTTGTAGGGCGTTTCAAGCAGTTAATCCTTCAGTCTAATAAACTTATGCTGGTCACTGCTCCATTCCAGCTCCGGACTCCGGAAAGACCTCAACACTAGTTTTTACCTCAGCCGAAATCTTGCATTTTTGCCTCAAAAAATTCTGTTGACTCCCTTTCCAGAACGTTTTGCAGATACCGAAGGCAGATTGGAATCAGAGCTTCATGCTCTATAAAACAGTACATCTCATATGGAAGCAATCATCTGAAGATGAAATCTCAGTTTCAGAGCATATATGATTCCCACCTGCCATTATGCCTCTGGAACCATTTTAAGGCGTCGAAAACTTCTACGATATCATGCACAGAAATCCCTGTCCCCTTTGCAAGATCTGAATCAATCGATAACATAAAGGGAAAAGAAAACAGCAGAGCCAACAATTCAAATGGTACCTGTGAGAAGCAACTTCTTTGTGCTGTTTTTCGGGACATGCTCATGGATGTACTCAAACAATGAGGTCCTCCAGTAACTGGCGTATGTGATCCTGCCTAGGTCGGAAAGAGGCCTCTCTGGGGTACCGGTCATATGCTCTTTTCGTGAAAGGAGGAAGCCTGGTGGTGATAATTGGGCAAAAATACGGAAAAAGCTAATAATTTTTAGTGAGACGTACTAAAATCAATGAGAAATCGGCCAAATCCTTGCTTTTGATAGCATGGAAGGGTGACAATGCATGATAAGTTGAACTTCTGCTGACTGTACTTTTCCTAAGAAACACGATCAAAGCTATGAACAATTTAAAAATACTCCAAGACACATATTTTATGTTGGTCTGCAAATGGCAGTCGCAAGGCGTGGGATTTCCGGCTGCCGTCAAATTCTTTAACCTGCCACAGACGCCTTTCGCCAAACTGCCAAACAACAGTGGGTGATTAGTTGTGGGTATGACGCTATCGCTTGCAAAATTACAGTTCTTACTAGATGAGTGAGAAAAGTACTGGCATGGCTATGACGCATTATCAAAATGTTCTGACCTGCTATTTTCATATATAGTAGACGTCATCTGTCTAGTCACCTCGGTGCGGTGTGTGTTAGTGCACACAATTTTGAAATCCCGGATGAACTGCTGGGTTCCCGCGGTGCGCCGTACTTGCACCAAGTGCACGCACGGCTAAAATTCGACGCCAAAATGCCCGTTTTTCTTATTTCGATGGTTTTTTTTTCTGTTTTTAGCTGCATTCACGTCTAGTTTTTGATGATTTGTTACTTTTATACCGTGCATTTCCGTTTTAGATCGCATAACTCAATCAGGTTAGGTAGGCAAATGGGCAATCCTGCAGGTTTTCGAAGTAAGTTACTTTCTACAGTATTGCACGGATGGATGGTAAGTTAAGTGCGAGTCCCAGTCCCCTTTTTTCTTTCTTTAACATGTCCTATTCGCTCATCTCCTCGGTTGTCTGGCTGTAGTATGTTTGTTCGGCTCCCAAATCCTTTGGAGGCGGGTTGTGACCCATTCCTGATTTCAAGAACTTATTAAGGACTTAAACTTATTGAAACTCCGCAATATAGCATTGCTTTTCGTACTCCACCTCCACACGAATCTGCGAGCTAATGATACATCAATTTCGCTCACATCTCAGAATGACCTCAGCACAGAAAAGCTTCACTGAATCATAAATCGACTGACTGTATTGCAGAGACGTTAGATGATGGGAAGGTGAGTATTTCATCGTTCGTTTGAGACTTTTCCTGTTTTGCTCGTAACTTCTCGGTTCTTTTGCTATCACATTCAATTTCTTTGTTATATTTCTTGTTCCCTCTTCTTCAGATAGCGTCTCCGGTCAAACTAGCTCGCAGTCGCAGCTACGAATTCGATTGTAGATTAACACGTTGACGACAACGCGCATTTTTAGTTGTCTGCCTTGTGGGACAATGCCTTTCACGAAGGAGTCGAAAATTTCTAGCTAGAATCAAGCAGATCGTCATCTTAACTATACCTACATAAATTTTTGAAAGCAGCCAAGAAACGTCAAGGTATTTTCTAGGGTTAGAGCGTAAAAGACTTCAGGGAACGGATGTACCCAGTAATTGTTATTATTTCAAAAAAATTTATGCCGTGACCCACCATGTGGGTCACATTGTCCCACGTGGCAGTCATTGCATGACCCACCATGTGGGTCACATTGTCGTCAATGTGTTAATGAGTGGACAAAGAAGTAAAACACCCTAGACGAGCAACCCTGCCATTGTGCGCAGGGGGCAAGATGTGTTGTATGAGAAGGCAACTAAGATGGTCTTTGGAAAAAGGTGTTAAGCTAAGTTATGGCTCATATAGAAAGCTCATAGTAGGTGAAATTTGGTGCAAAAGATGCGATAACTCACGATTCAGTTGATTTATGATTCAGTCAAACCTTGTGTTGAGGTCATTCCTAAGATGTGAGCGAAAATGTATCATTAGCTCGCAGATTCGTGTGGAGGCGGAGAAAGGGTCAAACCCGTCTCCACAAGGATCTGGGAGCCGAACAAACATAATACAGCCAGACAACCGAGGAGATGAGCGAATAGGACATATTAAAGAAAGAAAAAGGGGACTGGGACTCGTATTTAACTTACCGTCCATCCATGCAATACTGAAGAAAGCAACTTACTTTGAAAACCTGCAGGATTGCCCATTTGCCTACCTAACCTGGAAGCAAAGATGTTAGATTTTGAGTTATGTGGTCTAAACCGGCAATGCACGGTATAAAAGTAATAAATCATCAAAAACTAGACGAGAATGCAGCTAAAAACAGAAAAAACCATCGAAATAAGAAAAGGCATTTTCGCGTCGAATTTTAGCCGTACGTACATTTGGTGCAAGTACGGCGCACCGCGGGAACCAAGTACCTCATCCGGGATTTCAAAATTGTGTGCACTAACATACACCGCACCGAGGTGACTAGACGGATGACGTCTACTATAACTCGAATTATGTTTATTGCAGATCCCGGGATGTACAGGACAATGCTAGGCCTTCTCATAAATTCGCAAACTATGTGTCTGAATCTTAATTTAGCGATAATGATCCCCTTACGGCATACACCAAGACCGTATTTATAGCATTAACCAAACGTTCACTTAGAGTCTTTTGAGCTCGACATTTTAAAAAATCAGCCATCTTGTACGATTCACTTGTATTCGAGATTGCCGTTTGGAAGGTGCAAAGACACCTTCACTGATAGTAAGGCAAATTATAATAAATCGCGCACAACAAACCTTCGAGAAATAGCCAACAAAGTGGAATCCGATATCATCATTTTTTGTGACCACGTAAAAAAGAAATGGTTCCACGTCATAGTACAAGGTTTTGTGATCAAGAAATAATTTTGCGACCAAGCACAGATTCTGGCAGTAAATTCTGAAATTCATTTCAGAGATCAATAATGAATAGCTATGGACATATAAAATGAGATCTAAATAGGTTGTAAAAAACTGAAAGACTGCACTTACCTGGAGACGTTTCCATCGACTTCAAAAACTGATACGCTGTTATCTCGATATATTTCATTCCCAGGAGGATGACGCCACTCGCACTTTCTCTGAATGCATATAGTCGAATATGCATTACCCTATTTTCCGGCTTATAAGCCGCACCCTCCGCAGCGAGCAATGGCGCGAAAGCGCCCTCAAAAAGAATATTTCTAATCTAATAAACTGAAGATATAATGCATTTTGTGACTGCTCTCCGTTGCGCACGTCCATGTTTTCAGGTATTTCTTGAATCCTCTAAAAAATTCGGAGGATTTTGCGGGTGTAATTTAGGTGGTAATTTCTTTCCTCAAAAATACCATGGAGTAAGGTGCTTTCTTTTGTTTTCAATGATGTTATTGATGTTGAAGCTACTGTGGTTTTCGATAATATTGCTGAATTTTCAACGGTACTTTCAACGCTTTTAAAACAATGAATGAAAGCAGAATTACTATCAAGTTATTAGGTAAAACAGATAGTTTGGCAGCTTGCGCGGCTTCGCGCTTCGCGACCGACAATGCACGTTAGACTGCGCGTGATGAAAATAATGGCGGCTTATACGCCGGAAAATAGGGTATTTTCTTGAAGGCAGCGCCCAGGCAAATCTGGACGTATGGGGATCTCATGTGGGCAGTAATTTTGGGACCCTAACTAAACGGCCGGGTATACTTCACGCGATTTCAGTCGCAACGCGATTTGGCAATTCGCCAGTCTTCAGATCCAACATTAGCAGTTGCACATGTATAGTATGTATAAGTTACGTGGATTGATAAAATGCCCCATCTTCTGTACATTTAGAATCTACTTGCAGTGAGTCATGGACAGCTGGAATATTGCCAGATCGCGTCGCGACTGAAATCCATGAAGTATGGCGGCCCTAAGACACTGCCCAACCGGCAGCTCCGATGGTGCTCTAACGGCCGAGATATTCGCCTCCAAACTGGACCCAGGATCCTATTTCGCATGTAAACACATCAGTTTCGCGTGGGTCCTCGCGCGAAAGCATGCAAAACGATGCGTCGTCCGATAATACGATCTTGGGGTCCAGTTTGGAGGCCTATCCCAGCCGTTAGTGAGTCATTTGCGCTGGGCTGGGCCGTGCCTTAGTTAGGGCCTCAAAATTACTCTGCACGTACAAACTCCCCGTAGGTCCAGATCTGCCTGGACGCTGCCTTTAAAGGCAGCGGACAGGCAAAATGGACCCCTGTCAGATTTTGGTAGTTTCGGGTAGTGGACCCCCCAAGTACACCGTAGCCCCAACCCCACATTCCAATTCATGCGCTAAGTCCTGAAAAAAGCGCTTTAAAACTCCACCAGCCCCGCCCACTTCCATTGAGTGGGCGTTATTGGTGGAAGTTTGAAGCGCTTTTTTCAGGACTTAGCGCATCAACTGGAAGTTGGGGTTGGGGCAACGGTGTAATTGGGGGGTCCACTACCCGAAACTACCAAAATCTGACAGGGGTCCATTTTGCCTGTCTACTGCCTTTAAATGGGAGACTGTAACGTTTTCATTCCCTAGCCGTTCTGTGTGACTGCAGCGGTTTTAAAATATGCAGTAGAGCAGCCGGAATGGAGGGTGAAAATATAAAAACATGGAAAACAGACAAAAAACTACACAAAGAACAAAAGAGGATGCCATATCTTTCCCTGCAATTGCCAATGCAATCAAAAAATGCGCACTTAAAGGCAGTGTCCGCGCAAAAACTCGATTTTGAGATTTTGTGCTTACCCGGGCCCATTCGCTATGCTGAATCCGAAAATCCACATTGGAGAGCGCGAAAACGACGAAAAAGGGCTCTAACACTGGAGGGAAATCAGCAGGTGGGCGGGGTCTTCCCCACTGTGAATTCACGATTCCAGCTTCCAGAACATTTTTCTCGAATCCGTTTGCCGCCCTGACATCACTACCGATCAAGTGCAAACGAATGACTTGAAACCGGAATCAAAAAGGTCGCCCCCGAAGCTGGGAGCGTGAATTCACCGTGGGGAAGACCCCGCCCACTTGCTGATTTCCTTCCAGCATTAGAGCCCTTTCTCGTCGTTTTCGCGCTCTCCAATGTGGATTTTCGGATTCAGCATAGCGAATAGGCCCGGGTAAGCACAAAATCTCAAAATCGAGTTTTTGCCCGGACACTGCCTTCAAAGGTATGTCCGGGTAAGAAGTTAATTTCTAGAAAAGTCACTTATCTAGGGTCATCCACAATGCTGAATCCGAAAAGAGCAAAGCTTTACAATTTGAAATAGAAGTTTCCCGACAAGGAAGACGCAGAGTCCTGGGACCCCTACAACTCTAACTGTAGCGGCAGGGTGGAGGACAATAGGTCGCCGATAGGCACCGCCCTCGCATACAGTTAGCACTAGCTGGCTTACTCAGCTCCGCTCGGCCCTATCAAAAGAGTATGATGAAGATCCCATCCCTATAACTGTACGAACATTCCCTGTGTCCACTTCTACATGCCAATTCTCTATTCCCGCTGTGTTAGCAATCAGCATGCTCACTAACCCCCCCCCCCCCCTGTGCTGCCAACTTCCAACCGTAGCTCGAACTTTGCAAAAAAACGATAAAACATATCGATCGATAACGAAAAGTAGTCTATGACACGCCCCCCCCCCCCGCCCGAAGTATATGTGTGCCAAGTTTGGTCCAAATCGGTTCGAAAAAAAATTTCTCTTCCGCACATACTTATACAGAGACATACATACAGTTTGCTCCAATCGGGATCAGGCCGAACGGTCGGCTTGAATCTGCGCTCTGCGTCTGAGCTGCATATGCGCGCTCTTGGAGGGAGTAAGAAGATTGAAGAGAGAGCAGAGAAGCAGGCCGTGGGCGTGACCGCGAAACCCTAGCGGCGCGGACTCCCGCCATGCCAGTTTTGGCCTGATTAGGATTGGAGCAGACTGTACAGACAGACAGACATTCAGCTTTATATATAAGGCCTAAAGCATACCTCCCCAATTCCAGTCGCGCCGCAAATTCCAAATTGGACATATGTTCCTTGTCCGCAGTGCACGCGCACCCAACTCTGGGGTCGCGCCAAGTCTGTGTTAGATTGACACTGCGACTAATCGCTGGCCTTTTTTGGGCGGGCATACTCTTAGCAGGGATACTCAAACCAGCGATGTCGCCGTCGCTAGTTCTGCATCAGCGATGAGCGAATCGCTCGGATAGCTTCTTGTTTGTTATAGAGTTTTGTATTTTTTGCAAATGCAAATTTCATTTAGGACTATTCCATCTCACACAAGCGCTTTCTCTCTGCATGAGAGAAGGATGGTCATCGAACATTCCATACTATTTATCCTTGAAAACAACACATGCGAGTTATATAGTATGGAATGCTTCCCAGATGTGACCTACCCTCTCTATTAGCATTTACTGTTCTCGCAATGTATCAATTTTCTCCTGTTCTTGCATATGGCGCCACATTCTGCTCGAATTCTCTCGAATAAATGCACTTCAGAGAATACAGCGCAAGTTTTCCAAAAGTGCGTATAATGCGGTGTGGTGTGTGAGCGTTCACGAAATCGCTACAGGTATGCCCAAGAGTCGAGCGATGGGCGATTTTGACGCAATGGACGGTCGCCCAGGCAGTCTGGTCGTAGCGATCGAAAATCGTGACGACTGGATCGCTGGAGGTATACCTTAGGCCTAATGTCCTGTACCCGTGGCGGCATGCGTACTCTGCCGCAGAGCAGGGATTCAAACAGGTGGAAGGCCCAGCCCGAGGGCGTAAGGCATCGGGCATACCTTACGCAATTGTCGCTATGCGATTACTCCGCCGGACATGTGTTCCTGATTCGCCGCGCTCAAATTGTGGGTCCCGCCGCATTCGCACCGGTTCGTGGGGCGACAAATCACGTGCCATCGCGAGCAGTTCTTTGATAGGCTCCATACCTCTTGTGGCGATATCGCCACGACATCGCCGAAACTGAGGAAAATCGCGTCGCAAAGTCTGCACCAGCGACGGGCGATATGTCGCGTCGCTTTCTTTTCTCTAAAAAGACTTTGCAAGTCTTTTTCTTCAATTTTAACTGTTGCACCATGCGAATAACACCACATGATCTGCGTTTCCGCTGCTCACTTACTCACTCACCACTCTCTATTGCTTATTCACTTTTCACTTATCCGCTTCTTTCTCTATCCTTTCCACTTATCCTTTTTGACTCTGGATTTACGGAAGCGTTACTAAATTGCCTCGGCAATGGACGTAAGTGTTTCTTATTCTTGTTTCTTTGTATTTTTCGATGCAAACCAAGGCTAGCAGCAATCGTGGAATGGATGATGCTGTAATGGACGCATCTATGAGCATAACTAGCGTCATGAGAGTAATGTGTGGAGAGGAGTGAGGTAAAGGATGTTAGACGAACTGAAAAACTTGATGTTTTGAGTTCATCCGGGCGTGACGTGTGAGCTATGAGTTTGTAAAATGTATGTCCGGGATGAGCGACATGCGATTTCCCGAAGCGATTGGACGCTGAGGCACTCGATGCCCCAGCGATGAGAATCGCTACGATGGAGTCGCCAAAGGTATGCCGATGCCTTAGTTTCTCAGCTTTCCAACCATATTTTGGAATTGTAAATTATAGCCTTGCTCTTGCGCAGTGGCGACGGGACCCCCTTTCGCATGGCATTGAGATTCCAAAACCCTCACCTTGTCCGGGAGAGCAACTGAAATGAGGACTACTGTACGCTTTGATGCAAGATTTCGGTTTTTAGATCGATCAAGATTTAGAGCACTTACAAGGACATACGGTGAGCATTTCAAAAGCATACTGAAGCTCAATTCACCGAAAAAAGCTCACCAAATGCTGCGCTAAAATTGTCTCCGTCTTCATGTATTTCAGGCAAAACTCGCATATGTGCAATATCGGCACGTGTGCATATTCTTGAGGATACGGGGCGCTGTACCATGTACTGATTTCATAGGACCCTAAAAACATTAATGCGAACAAGAGAAACTTGGGCGGTGAAAACTTAGAAGGCTGTCAATTAGCGTTTTGTTAATCTTGGGAAACCTCACCTATTCGTATAGCTAAGGGCCACCGCGGCTCTTCCGAGGGTTCCTTCATTGTTGAAGCAATATCCCTGATTGCTTTGTCGATGCTCTAAATACCACGTTTCATATGGCAACACTGGCGTGATCTCCATCTTTCTTACGTAGAAATAGGACTCGATGCCGCTTGCGGATTTGAACAACTTATTCATTGTATTTGTTATTAGCACAACTAGACAAAAACGTAAAAGGGAATCTCTTCTGTGGATAAGTCGGCGCTATTCCAGTATCCGGGCCCCATGATCTCAAAGCCGTGGATTTTGCTCAAACTCGGTCTAAGGGGGTTATTCAATCCGCTGATGCCAAATATCATATTAGTTTTGCGCGGTAACGCAGGTTTCCGGAGTCATGGCGGGTGTACGGTAATGGGTCAAAATCACGGATTTCGCTTAAACTTGGTTTAGGCGGCTTATATGACATGCTGATCATTAATGTCATACTCTTCTGAATTTTAAGGCCTTTTCGTGTATTTACGGTAGTACGGCAGGAAGACAAGATATCAAAAGCGACTGGATTTTGGTCCAGAAGGGTTATGTCACATGCTGAAGGAGGATATCATAATCTCCTTGCATTTTGAGACCTTTTTGCGGAGTTATGGTAGGTATATGCTAGGGGTCAAAATCATAGACCTGCTTGAAAATATATGCAGGGGAGGCTATCTGACTTTAAAGGCACCGTCCACCATAAGTTGAGGGTGTTGAGCTTTTGGCAGCATACAATAATAGGGCCCCCTATAAATCCAACGCCCAAGTCGCGGCACAAAATGTCGCTTTGGAAGCGAGAAAATCGCATCGGAATAGCGAAGATGCACGAGGACCTCCATCCATGCCCGCCCTCCCCCATCCATGCCCGCCCATTTGTGCGCGCCCAGCCAATCACCGTTCCGGAAAGCCGGCCTGTGGGTTCTCCGGAACGGGATTGTTGGGGTTTTCGCGCATTCCCGACTTCATATTCGGATTCAAGGACATGAGAAGGCCCTGAAACGACAAAAACATGGAAGTCGAAAATCTGGGTGGACGGTGCCTTTAAGGGGCCCGAAAGGCAAAATATGTCTAATCCATAGGTTGCAAATTACCATAACTCCACTATAAGGCGTTATTGCAGCGAGCAAGCATCGTATTCGTAATCAGCATACTCAAAAACCCTTCTAGACAAAGGTTTAAGTAGATTCGGAACTTTGAACCATCTACCGTGCACCCACCGTAACCCAAGAGAATGGCGCTTTTCCGAGAAATTAACATGATATTCATGTTCAGCTGGCTAAATGATCCTTTAGGCGAAGTTTGAAACAAATTCGTGCATTTGATCTCAAACCGTGCACCTACCGTAACTCTATGAAATGGCCGCGAGATACAGAAAGAATTTGATATTCGTGATCAGCACAGTGAAAAACCCCCTAGACCAAGTTTCAGCCAAATCCGTGATATTTTGACCCTCTACCGTATACCCACTGTAGCTCCACCGAATGACATTTCTGTGCAAAAAGACTGTGGTATTCGTGATCAGCATGTCAAATAACCTCCACGGACCAAGCTGCAGCCAAATTCACGACTCTCCGAATTTTGGGAGCCCGATACTGGAATAGCGCCAATAAGTCTAACGAAGTTTGAAAGGCGAGATATAACCATGTAGTACTAGTAAGCAGCTTACTATCACAAATTAGGAGAAAGCTTGCCATGTTGTGATGTCATTATCTTTGCGAAAAAAACTATTTGCGTCGCTGTTGTAGCTTAGAATGAGCCAAGAATCGTGTTGCCAAGGAGCATCAGTAACGATCCTCAACATTTCTAATCGGCATGTATGACCTATGATGGCTGCGCTGGCGCCCTTTACGACTAACGAGTCGTTGGACGTTTGCCTTACAGGATCTCTTCTCAGAGAAAGGGTTCGGTACGAGGTGGCTCTGGCAAATTTTTGAAAACAAAATCCCCGGTGACTTTGCAACAAAATTACGACATCCCTTGTGACAAGCTCATGAATGAATCCGACGTGAGTAACAAAGAAGAACAAAAAAAAAAACGAAAAACAAAAACAATAACTGACGATAAAAAACCAATGCTGTTTGCCTTTTCCGAGTTGGCAGAATGCTGTGTTCAGCGCGCACCAGTACGCTTCGAGCAAGATTGCCGCCGCCATTCAAAATGTTTGATGGGCTGTAACTAGACGGGAAGTGAGGGGTTGAGAGGTATCTAGCAGGATCTATGATATGGGACTAGGGAGTAGAGCTTTGTATTGAGTGCTAAAAGAGGGAGCTATTCACTTTAGAAATATAGTTAACCATGTTTGAAAATGACCCTTGAGTGGCCCAATATTGGGAACTCTCAGAATTCGCTGAAACCTGGCCGAGAGGAGTTACTTGACACGATAATCACGAAAATTCTTCAATTTTGCTTGTGACGACATACACACTCCCACCATAACAAACCGGGAGGAGTGAGTGTAGGGGAGGGGATGAAAGTTAGGATGAAACAAATAAATCAAGATGAAAGTATCTATGGATGTCTACGACTCACGTGAGATAGCGATGGGGTGCATTGTTTGCAAGTGGGTAGGCTGCAAGAATTTGTTGGGGTGATGGCCGTGAAGTTGGCCATTTCCCCAATACCCTTTGCACGATTTTTCTATATAAACACTTTGTTCCGGATACTTTGTCTGCTCAAAAGATTTTGAACATTTTCACCATTCCCGAAACTTCGATTTTGTACGAAGTGAATAAGTGATTTTTTCATATACACCATATACACCAAGGTGACATGCAATTTTTGAGGTTTCGCCGCAAACTCCTCAAAACGATATCTCCTCAGTTTTCTAGCTCCAACGCCATATCCAGCCTGCTTCGTAAACCAACTGTACCGCGCCTTGCTCGAAAACAGATTTGTCATAATGCTTTTTGGGATGCTGCCAATACACAACAGAGAGTAACAGCATATGAGTTATACCCAATTTGCTTGCCGCTGTGGATAAGATGTTGGCAACGTATTCATTCTGCAAGATAAGACTTTTTGACGTTTACCGGTGCTCATCTATACTTCAATCTATACCAGTCTGATGCGACAAATGGGCTTTGTGGCTACGACATTTTCTATTAGCATGCTACGCCGGCCCCTGTGAACTACCATGGTTTGTGTGATCGCATACCGTCTTCGATAAAATTTTAGCAATATTTAGCAGTGTATTTTGCACTTGGAGTGGATATGCCGAAACACAGTCTGTCCGGGTAGAAGACTATATGTCGCCGAAAAGCCCCGCGGTCATTTGCAACCAAGGCCCGTATGCACGTACATCCCCGCTGGGGAGGGGAGGGGATCTGAGAGGGGATGCATCATATCTCGCTACTCTGGGTATCTTTCTTCTTCCTTTTCTATCTTGCTTATAAAGGTTCTCATACCCTAATACCTGCGCATTTGATGCCAGGTTACTGGCATAACTGATTAGATTTTTACTATTTTGTGTGATCCTCTGGGGATCAATTCTCAATTTTAGTGCCATTTATCTTCCTGAGAAGTCAATAGAAACACCGCAAAATTGTTTGAGGATAAACTACGGCACTGCTAAGCATGTTTTCAACAGGAGAAATGGAATCTGAAGATTGTGAATTTTTCGATGATCCCTAGCTTTCGAGCCAGGGAATACCGAAGATTTCGATATCCTGAGATTTCACTTATTTCTACTAAAAACATCTTTAGTAGTGCCGTAGTATATCCACAGTACAATTTTACGGCGTTTTCACCGAGTTTTCAGGAAGATAAATCACTTTGAAAATGAGAGGTGATTCCCTGGGGATCAGCAGGGGATCCCTTGGGGATCACACAAAATTGTGAAAATCTAAATAATCACGCCAGTAACCTGGCATCAATTATGTGCAGTTATAATGTTATGAAAACCTTCATAAGCAAGATAGAGAAGGAAGAAGAAAGATACGTAGAGTGGCGAGATATGACGCATCCCCTCTCAGATCCCCTCCCCTCCCTAGCGGGAATGTACGTGCATACGGGCCTAATACGCACCTGCATGGAGGCGCGTTTTTGCAAGCAATCCGCTCGGAACCCTCCCGCAATCGGCGACATATAGTCCTCTATCCAGTCTGTCCCAAACGGGATCAGGCCGAATCGTTGGCGTAAAGTTGCGAAGTCGCAGCGCCAGAAGTCTGCGCTGTGCGCACTCGAAGAGATCGGAGAGATTGATAAGAGAGTAGACAAGAAGGTCATAGGCGTGACGCAAAACACTAGCGTTGCGGACTTCCACCCTGCCAATTTTGGCCTGATTGAATTGGGACAGACTGTAGAACTTTCCTCCAAAAAATGAAATTTCCTCTCTAGATGAAATATAGAAATACCAATGAAATAGTAGTATTTGTGAAGCATACCTCTTGCACTCGCATCTGCACAGTGTCAAACAGTCGTTGTGCTTCTTCGGTGATGGGTATTTTGCCCTCCTTGTCCACAGTTTGACGGTTCTCCTTTTCACCCGATGGTGATGATGCACAAGCCGACGCGCCGTCACTGCAAGTCGCATTGGTATCACTATCTCTACTAGCACTTTCCATATTGGTTTTGTTTACAAAAAATCATTCAACAATGACTCTCACCTTTTGAGATATGATATTGAAAACAAGATTTTCATGCAAGTTACTGAATTTCATGGACTTACGAACAAATCGATGATGACACAGAGACAGTCGAGTATCTATAGCGAATACAGTGACTTGCAGTAACAAATTCTCCGGTAAAATTTGCGCATGGACTATAGGACGTCCGCGCTGCGCACGGAGAGCAACGCTGTTGCGTATAGTGAGTTTCGACCCGCTTTAGGCGGAAATTGGATTGGCGGGCGTCCGCCTCGCAACTGTTCGCGCCGTTTCGCAGCTACAGTATATCATATCGCGCTGAGAACCCAAGTCTGCGTCTCTTCATTCTCCTCAGTCTTTGCTTGGCAAAATGCCAGCGCTATGCGCTCGCGAAGCCTCCTGCGATGCGCACGCTGCTCCACCTAGAATCTTTCGCCTAATCCGGGATGAAACCGACTGTAGATTGAAGGCAGTTCACGACTGGAAGAAGCGCAGAGAAAAACAGGCGGCGAGAGTGCACGAGAAAGAGGAGTGACGCGCAATACACACCTTGTGCACTCTCCGCGCCCTGCGCGGATGGCCTATAGCTACGCTCGACTACACTACTTATGCTGAAATGCCGGCATTTCGCGCATGCAAGTTGCCGGCTATCAGACGCAGCTATTTACGCGCAAATTTGACCGCAAAAACTCGGCACCGCAAGGGCGCTATATTTACTGACAAATCTACTACTGTATCCTCTGTATCATTGGGAGAGATGGGCGCTGGGTGGGGCTCGAGTTCCGCGAGGACGCCTCTTTGGGTTCTGCACCTCTTTCGCAAACGTCTCTCTAATCATTTTCCCACAAATATCCTAGAAAAGGCTGAGCTTCGATCGCCGATCACGCCTGGGAAATTATTGGAAAGCACACTCGCGAGAGAGATGCAGAGTTTTGCGAGGCCCGCGCAAAACCCAGCACCCGTCACACCTAAGGCTGGGTTCATACTGGAACGTAAATTCCGAAACATCCCATATGAGCGCAGCCTAAGGCACGCGCCATATTCATCCACTCGATCGCTTGATTCACTCAATCCACTTCGCCATTAGTCAAAACATTAAACTGACCAATAGCGAAGCGGATGTCTTCTTGAACCACTTGATCCGCTTCTCCACTGGTCAATTCAATGATTTTACCATTAGCGAAGTGCACCTAGTGGATCAAGCAAATCAAGTGGATCATGTATGGCGTATGTCTAATGATGAAGAGGATACTAAAACATTTCTTTCAGTGCTTCATAGGCACCCGCTTGATCCGCTTCACCATTGGTCATTTCAGTGAACTGACCAGTAGTGAAGTGGATGAAGTGGATCAAGCGGATCAAGCGGAGACAACCGCTTCGCTATTGCTCAACTCACTGAATCGAATGACGAAGTGGATCAAGCGGATCAAGTGGATTAAGCGGATCAAGTATGGCGGGTGCCATAGACAAAAAGTTGGTTGGAAGGTGTAAGCGGCACCAAAATGCTAGCTGGATTATGCGTCACTAGCACACGCTGAGAGTCAGAGCACCCAAACACAACTAATACGGATCAGATTTCCCTATGCGATCCGTAACAAAACAAGACAAAGAAAATATAAACTGCAATATACTATACCTTTTTGCAGCATTCCTCTTGCTCCGCATTCTTCTCCGTTCCTGAAATTATAATCTACTGTGAATGACGGCATGACTGCCAACGCGTGCATATAACAAACTGAAACAGCCAAGGAAGGCCGTTCTTTGCAACTAACTTTCGCTTTAACCGGTTCATACGCAAAGAAACCAGATGATAAACTTGGAAAAGAATGTTATTAAAAAAAGGTTAAAACAGCTTGTGCGCCCATGATTATTATGCATGGACAACAAAGTTGGAGATATTAACAAGATACCACACAATTTTTCAGAATATTATGATCGTCGGAGAACAAAGTAACACACTCTGATTTGTCTACGCAAAGAGATTAAATAGAAGAAGTTACGGTCGCGTGGGCTGCGCTGTTGTCGCAGTGGAACGACTCGATGTCATGAATGAGTTGAAAGCGTCAGTGGATGTTGTCCGTTCAAAAGTGGAGTTTTGCAATTTCGCAACACGCTGGCTGTGTGCCAAGCACGCGGGGCGGAGCTTCTGTGAGGCGCGTGCTTGGCACTGTTTTGACCATTCCGGTCTTTCGTCAGCTCAGGAGAGGCAATGTTTTTGCTCTGTCTCCTATTAAGAAGAAAAGAGGAGTTATCGCTCAAGTATAGGAACTAGGATACGCTGATTCTTGGAGTGTACAAGTTGGGTAGGCATGAAGTCTTTCTCATACCTCTTGAGGTTTGTTTGTATTGAAGGAATAGCGGTCACCTTTGGTTTGTATAGAACGATCATGTCGGGATGACAATACTTACCAAAATAGGATGCAAGTATTTGTGACGAATATCCTTGAACAATTGCTTCTTATGCATAGACTTCCGACGTGTCTTATGTGATTTCTGGCTCAATTAGAGATGTCACCTCAAGCAGGAAGCAGTTTCTCGCCTCGATTAGCACTTTCGATCAGTGCTTCATAGCGATTTAATATGGAACGTTGCAGACTTACAGCTTTTCCCAATGAAGACTTCCTAGATGGAAGTATGCTTGCTTCACTTCATAGTTGTTGAAGAGTCAACTTCATAGATGGACTTATTTGGCGGAATATCTGTGTCAGTCAGACGTACCTACATACACCGTCTTGCTTTGCACAAGGATGCTAGCTGATATGTCGACCCAGTCACGGGTAGCGGCTATGCTTGGATGAGATAATCTCAACGCCATATGTCGAGATGTTCCTCGGATCCATTCGGAGAATTCGATTGTGCGCCCATATGAGTTCTGCGACTCGTCGTTTGAAATGTAAGTTGGACTCAGGCTTCTTGAAGCCTATGGTAGTGGATCCTCTGCCGAGGTTAATAGTCAACCAGAGCCATTTGTAGAAATTGGGAGTCAACTGTGAACTTGGGAAATAAGTCAGTTTCCGTTTCTTGAAGCTGAAGTGTCCCTGGATTCCGATCCAGGAGTTGGCGAGTGAGTTGAGGCTTCATGGGTTTACAAGAGTCCAGCCGGACGATGGCAAGTTGTTACCGGCCTTCTGAAGCAGGTCTAGGATCTTGTTCCAGAAGGGGATGGTACCGATACGACCTTACACGTTGACTTTGATGCCGGCTTTGCGAAGCCTAGTTGTTTCCGGATCCCGATCAAGAAATGAGGGTTGATTTGTTGTTTCTTATGTAACTGCGAATCTAACTTCGACGGATCAAGTCACATGCTGGCTTGAAAGTCCGGATCCGGTTTTGATTGGGCTCAGCTGTGGTCCTTGTTAGAAATGTAGCCGTGATAAAGAGAGCTAATGCCGGTTTCCTAAAACCGAAGGTCCTGGATCTCGACCCAGAAGAGAGAGAGTTGATGCCGGCTTCCTGAAGCCGAGGTAGTCCTGGATCCCGATCCAGAGAGAAGAGTTGATGTCGGCTTCCTGAAGCCGAGGTAGTCCTGGACTCCGAACCAGAAAGGAGAGTTGATGCCGGCTTCCTGAAGCCGAGGTAGTCCTGGACCCCGATCCAGAGAGGAGAGTTGATGCCGGCTTTCTGAAGCCGAGGTAATCCTGGATCCCAATCCAGAGAAGGGAGTTGCTGGGCTTGCTGAAGCCAAGGTGATCCTGGATCCCAATCCAGAGAAGGGAGTTGTTGGGCTTGCTGAAGCCAAGGTGGTCCTGGAGTATATCCGGAGGAGAGAGTCAATGTCGCTTCCTGAAGCCGAGGTGGTCCTGGGTCACGATCCAGAGAAAAGAGTTGATATTGGCTTAAGGAACTAGGTGGTCTTGGATCCCGATTCAAGGGAAAAGTTGATACCGGCTTTCGAAGCCTAATGTTCCTGGATCTCGATCCAGAGGAGAGATTTGATGCTTCGTGAAGGCGATGTGGTGATCCCTATCCCGATGAAATAGGTGATTTTGGCTCACTAAAAGGTGGCCCTAAATCCCGATCCAGGTGAGAGAGTTGAGCTTATTGTAGCCGAGGTTGTCCTAGATCTTAATCCTGAGGAGGTATCCGAGTGATAGTCTACTTTTTATGCGTTGTTAAGTCGCGATCTTTCCAGCTGGAGAGGAGCTCGCCTTTTTGAGCTTGCAGTATATTCCTGTTGATAATAGGTTGTAGGCAGAGCTGGCTGATATCAGAGAGAGAGAGAGCTGGAGCCGGCTTTTTGAAGCTGAGGTGTACGTATTTCTTACCAAAAGTTGATAGTAGACGTAAATCCTGGTATTGCCACGTTGATAGTTCACTGCACGCTCGTGTGGTAGTCTCGGTAACCAACTAGAGTAATGGAATGAGGTCGAGGACGTCCATTTGAAAGTGAGGTGTTATTGGGCTTCGCTTGGGTTTTTTGAACTTCTACTCTGCGGAAGGCAGCAGAAACTGCCCAATTTGATGAGAGAAGAGTGACGCATATGTTAAGGCTTTCTTCTAGAAGTGCTGCCTAGCTGCTGAAGCGGACGATCTTGCTCAAGATCAGAGAAGTGACGCAGGGTCAGAGTAATCATGGCGGCTTCTCGCCGAAATGTAATTGGTCGCGAGGACCTAGGAAGTAGCCGAGAATTGCGCCGCACTTCTGGCTTGAACCGTAAGTGCCATTTCCATATACGAGAATATATATATTCACATATCTCCCTTCAACAGCGGCGAATAAGTCAAAGTGAAGTGGAGTATAGATGAACAAAGCCTCGAGCGCGGGGCACTCAGCCTTTATAGCCAAGGGTGCTAATGACCTCAGTCTCTCACGATTTAAGGTAGCAGAAGAAATTACAGAATAGGCGTTTTTCTTGTCAGCATTCCTAAGGGCAGCATCTACGAGCCACGGTGAAGTCTTCGGATCAAGTGGCCAACTGGTCGTATTTATGTGTCATCCTTTACGCTTCACTTAACGGTAGAAGTACGCAACTCATACGCAGGTGAATCTCTGTGAAGGCAGTGCAAACTCTTCGTTGGGTCCCACACAGTCGTTGTCGGTCGGAACTGCTTGAGTCTATTTTATTACCACATGATTGCGGTTTTTTCGAGCTTAGTCCCATTGCAACTACTCATTGCTTTTTGTCTGAAGCATATAGCAGTCTATGACTACATTATTGGTAACAAGCTGGCAGCGATCTTTCAGTTTGTCAAGGACAATTTCGTATATGAGAATGTGATCCCGTTCACATGTATTGCTGTCTGATGGTCCAACGGGAAGTCATTTACCGAGTCCTAATCAACGAAATCTCCAGAAATTGCCATGTGTTCACCATATTGTGGGGCTTCCAATACGGATCCCATTATGTGGCTGGATATTCAATGGATACTAGAGGTTCCAAATATATGCTATTAAGGTCAGAGGCGGCGAATATTCAAACACTGTTCGAAGAAAGCAAAGCTTAGCGAGGGTAGACGCACAATAAATGCGTACTCAGACGAAAGCAATGTTGTAGTCGCTTTCATTTTCAGTGCTTCAGACGTTGTCAGGGTCATGGCACTGCGGATCAACATGTTCAAGCTGGAAATAATTACCACACTCCGATGGTGATAACTATAGCCTTTACAGCCTCACGTTTTCATGAGGACGTATCGCCCATCATAATGGTGGATTTCAGATGATTGTTCTGCTGATGTTAGGCAAACATTAGGGTTCAATGTGTTGCATGCTCACTCAGTGATTTCTACTATGCATGCTCACTCAGATATGTATTAAGCCTTTCGGTTCGGACCTCTGATTTTGTTCATCTGCAGTGCTTCAGACAGATATCTCGTTTTCGACGCTTTGAGTGTGGAATCGATAAACCGCCATCGGCTCAAGAATTTGGGGTTTTAGGTCACTGTGAGATTCATTATCAGGCTCTTCATCAATGCGTCTCGGATAGAAACCTCGTTACACTCCTGCCTCCATGCCCTCGGGCTTTACCTGTTCCGCTTGTGTTGCGAAAGGGCAAAACATAGGTTTTGCCGTAGTCTATCGGAGGCAAAAGTGGAGTTTTGCAATTTCGCAACACGCTGGCTGTGTGCCAAGCACGCGGGGCGGAGCTTCTGTGAGGCGCGTGCTTGGCACTGTTTTGACCATTCCGGTCTTTCGTCAGCTCAGGACCCACCCACCCACCCGGACAGGATTGCTGACGATACGGACGCGCGCCTCAGGATGCATTGTTTTTGCAGGAATTTTGGAAGGGCGAGGCAAGGCATGGCAGCAGTGATCGAGAGGAAATGGGCAAAGTGTGCTGTGGAATCTTATCGGAAAGGCGTTACAACGTAGAACAAGCTCGACTACAAGAAGAAAGATACGTCTTGCATCGTTTGTGCGCTGGAGAGCATAGCAACTCATATGTAACACTGGATTCTACCTTTCTAGTTTTGATGTCAATCGTTCATTACAGGGAGATTGAGTCATTTGCTTCTCAGATTTGGTGTTCTGGATGTACCGGTAGATTAGGAGGTTGTTTCGGAGAAGTGTTGATTTGCATCGTTCCTTGTTACGCGTTATACGGTCCCGTTAGCAAGGGCGACATCATTGTTTAGGTTCTCCCGCTCCTTACTCTCCTTCCATAATCTCATTGATCATTAGCCCACAAGGCGTTTGTTGTTCAGTTGTATCAGTGGATAATTTGTGCTGGGAGCGTTCCCAATATCATGTTCATAGCTGACGAATGAACCTTCACCATTCCTTGTGTTGCGAAAGGGCAAAACATAGGTTTTGCCGTAGTCTATCGGAGGCAAAATCGATAACAACGCTGTCAAGGAATGCGCGCAGAACCTCGGGGTGACCTCTTTAGAGTACGTCAATCTCACCAATGTATTGGTTGGAACATAGTGCAAGTATAGAATCTGTCAAAACTAAATCTCAATAGTTGCACCTTACTAGTTTTCCTGCCAGAATAAAAATAATTTATGTACTGAACAATCGCGCTCACTTTATGCGAAAGAATAAGGGAGAGCGAATGAACACTCTATCGCACGATTTGCACATTACCCGGATGTTGGGAGTGAGATGCAAGAACTAAAATAAGAAAGCTGAGATGTGATCATTGACGTTTTTTTACATGAATGTGCAGAAAACAACGAAGGAAACCAAGAAGAAACGCAAGAAAAACACCCATAGGCTACCGGCGGGCAAAGGCGCCGAATTAGGGCGCAAACGCGGCTTTACTGGTCGCGCATGAGGACACGATTATAGGAGAACGGGTCGAGTCCTAACGAAAAATTAGGCGTAAACTTATTGCATGTCTGTGGAACACTTTTTCTCTACGGCCACGATTATGCACCCACGTATTCGTCCGTGTGTGTGGATATATCGTCGATCCATTGACCGCACGGACTGCTCAAACGCTGCATTTGGAATGCATGTTGGAGGTTTTGAGTGTAAGTGCAAGTAGGTTTACTCGGCTCCATTTAGTCTCTCCTTCAGTTGAATAGAGAAACAGCTTGCTTCTTTTGATTTAGGTTTAAGTATCATTTACGCCAGTTTTTCTGTCCAGTTGCAAATACTAACAACCACGGAACGGTTGATTGGTGAATCCTGTTTTGTCAACATGTAAAAATTTAGTGTGTTTGTGAAAGAACCATGTAATGAACGTTTCGTTAGTTTTCTCAATCATCTACTAGTACCAAAATTTTATATATACCGGCGACCTTCACTCCAGCAATGGTACTCATGGATAATGGCCTACATCCGCTTCAAACTGCTCTCAATGCTTATGCAATAGGTTTGCATTCAGGAGGTGAAAAAGACAGAACTTCTCATGAGCAACATTTTCAACGATACCTTATGTATGCAGTTGAGACACGTGGATTAGGTCAGTTTGTTTGAATCAGCAAATCCATTCTAAGCTTTAACTTTTGAGGGCAGGCTTGGAAAGTTGAAGTATGGTTCACTTTTAAAATTGTGACGACGAGTTTGACTGGGGTGGGGGAACGAAAGCCGCCAGGTCCAGCCGCCTTTCGCGGCCAGCTGGTCCTTTCGCAGCGTTGTTGCATGTCGTTCCAGGACCAGCAGTCCGCGGAGGCGGCTGGACCTGGCGGCTTTCGTTCCCCCACCCGTTTGACTGCGGTCTTAGCGTCTTAACGCGCACAGGAGCATACACCCATACAAACAGGCATCACCTCAACCTCAGCTCAGTCACTTTCAGTATCTGAATACTATTATATGTAAGCAGGAAAACCATTTGAGTAGAGGTAGAAACTAAGGAGTGGGAGTGAATGCGTGTCGCGCGCGCGGTCGGACCATAGTCAAATTTTCGACCCGTAGAAGTACTTGATTTTGTGGTTTTTTCTACAGGAAAAGTTCATCTTCTTGAAGCGATACTGCGATAATATAGGTTGTCCCATAAGTTCCGTCCTTTTTGAATTTCAACCGCAATAAGTCATACATCTCTCATTCCTAAATATTAGGCCGTTTCATGAGTTCGTAGAGTTTTCTCTCGTTCTCATTTCTTTGAGGAGCGGTTGATTTTCGGCAAGATGCATACATCATCGAGTAGAGCTGATCATGCTCTTCAAAACAGACTTATCTTCTACGAAAAGCTGATTTGCGATTCCTCAGCTTCCAAAGAAAGAATTCTCAAAAGACAAAAGAAGCATTTTCGGCACGCTCTTTTCTCTTACCAAAAAAGAGCGTTTTGCTTAGATTTTCTTGCCGATTATGGAAGAAGGCGTTTTCTCGTCAATATGAGACAAAAACAGATTGGACTGCCTCAAAAACAAAGAGTTTGCAGGGTGTCACCTGAACAAGATTTTTTGCAGGTTGGACAGGAAGTTCTGCACTGATACTAGGCAAGAACAAGACGGTCGTCCATACCGTATGCAACCCGACTGCACTTCTAAACTAATCCCTAATACACAAAAAGCCTGCTAAACAGGTCCAGTGAGCTTTTTTAAGCGATAAAAATGGTCCCCTATGACAATCGTCGCCATAGCTGTCCTGCAAGACTTGACCGGGAGGTTCATTGATACTCAATGTACTCCTGAGATCTCACTCTAGCATACTGTCATCTCTTCCATCTATCACCTACCATATGGACGGCGTCTGTTTTGATTCTGAAGGGGGCGCATAGAAGTGGTACCCGAGCAGCCGACTGCTGCCGCAGGCAGCCGCTGGAGCTGCCTGCAAAGCCGCTGCAAATGGTACAGTAGCTACGCTCGGCATCTGAAACTCTTGCGGAGAGGTTTCCTCGAAAGCATGATATCCTCGATCATCATTGAAACGACAAAAAATTCTGCTTGAGAACCATGCAAATTAACAAAGCTATACAGAGTTTTTGTAAAGGAGATTGGCCACAAAATCAAATTGCTTTGACTACTCAAAATTACTAGAAACTGAATAGTTCAGGAAATCTTTAGTTTTTGAAAATTTTTTGGTTTTGAGCTTCGAATAACGGACAAGACATTTACGGCAATATGCTGCGGATGTGACGGTAAGATTAGTCTATTAAAACTTGATTTCATTATCTAACGATGTTAAGCGAGCTAAGTAAGCTACTCAGACAATCGCCGCGGGCAGGCGGGCGCCGGAAAATACGCGTTGCTGACATTTCGCATTCCGCTCGCAAATTTTTATTTTTATTTTATTTGATACGCACAAGGCGTGCCCAATACACAGAACGAAGCATCACACTAAACAACTAGGCTCCCCTCCTTTCCCCACGCGAACCCCCGTATGCACAAAGACAACCCAGAAAATCAAAGGCTCTCAGCCGCACCAAAAGCGCCGTTGCCTTATCGTCGCCACTTTTCGCTTCCCGCTGAAAAACTTTGCTAGAACTGGCAGCGAGCGGGCTGCAATAAAGTTTTCAGCGCGAAGCAAAAGTGGCGGCCATACCTTATCGCCTTAGTATTTCTCTGATAGCCGAGAAATTACTTAGTTTACAGAAACTGGAATTATCGAAAAAGGTTGATTATGAAAGAACTTACGATGTTTCGAACTTGAAAATTCAAATCGACGGAGCTTATGCAGCAGCTTGATATCTAATGAAACTCAACTGACACGCCCAATCATAGAAATGATTGCCTAGTCTCAGTGCCTGGTGCCTAGTCTTAGGGAACTGTCATACTCCGCGCAAAACCGTCCAGAAGCGCCCAAAAGCGCCAAAATGCAGCTTTTAGCAAACCTTTTTGGAAACACCAGTCAAAGCTACAACCAAATGTGAGTTGCGGAGTAGGAACCATAGGTGCGATAAGGTGAGAATGATCCTTCCAGGGTGAAAGGGGCCACATCGGTCGCAGCCCCTCCGGGTGAAGGGTGTTTCACTTGGTAAAGAAATTATAAAATGTCGACCGAGGACCATTGTAAAAAGACGTCTACTTGAGCACTCCCATTATAAAAGTCTCAACCACCCTTCACCCGGCACTTTTTCTAATGGATCCCAGGAAAAGTGTGTATTTTCTGAAAGCGGAGGACGAGACGGTTCCAATGGTGACCATCCCGGCGTACAAGATGTTCATCTACAAAAGTTATGAATTTTTTATGTTAAAAACTCGAAAATCTCTAGAAATCACAAGCACACCCTTTGCCCAGGCACTTTTTTGAACCGATCTCAGACGTGCTATATAGCATCTGAAAGCGGAGGACGAGACAATTCCAACAGTGACATCACGACGTAAAAGATGCTCACCTACAAGAGTTACGGATTTTTTCATCCTAAAAACTCGTAAATATCCAGAAATCACTACCCACACCCTTCATCAAGCATCTCCTTTGCTTAACCTTACCTTACTGTTGGTTTTTTTCGGCTTTTGGTGAAGGGGTCACCTTGGCCCGGCTCAGGGGTGAAGGGGGAGGGGGGTGAGAAAATTCTCACACTATCGCACCTATGTTTCGTGGTGTAAAAGTGTAACAATCTTATAGTCAGGTCGGATGTCCGTCAATATCAGCCATAATCGGAAGTCAAGGCTCAATGAACTCCATAGCTCATTAGAAAAAAAAACCAAAGCTTGGAAACTTCGCAATTCAGCTGTTTCTCAAGTTGATTAACTTTTGATGCTTTTGAAAGCAAAAAATGCAGTGATCACTTCCGTTTGAATAAGAAACAAATCATATTTGTTGCAGCTGTTTCATTTTTAGATGTAATTGTATAAAATAACCTGAAGGTCAAGGACTGGTGGCTCACATGCGCACTTAAAGCTATAGACAGGTTCATCAACAAAAAACAATTACGATGATTTCTAGAGTACTTGATGATAGTGTCTAAAGGATATCCGTCGACGACCGCCCCGTTTCGTGCATTTACACCACCGCAGGCGTCTTTTTGAAGCCCTTCCGGCTTGACAGTACGCTGCAGCGCGCGGGGCTTGTAGCTCGCAGCATCCCTGTCCTTTAATCTCTTTTGTTGATTTAAGCACACACCTTTTTTCTTATTATTTTTCATTTCTGACAATCAGCCGTTCTCATGTCTATGTGAGATCATCACCGCGAGCAAAGTAGAGAAAAGAATGACTTTCTTTGTAGCTGCAATGGTGGATATAATGGCTATGATTGGGATTGCATGTTTTCTTCCATGTTTTGTAACGTTTTGACGTGTTTTCTAGGATAGACCACTGAAGTGATTACTTCAGGACTCCTACATCAGGGACACCAGGCAGGAGTGCTGAAATAAACATCTGAGTGGCCTCATCTAAGGGAAATCCATGATAGCCACCTCCGCTTATGAACAAAGCACACATTTTCACCTAATTTTTCCCGAGGCGATGGTTCACGATTGTGTAGAAGAATGTTTGGCGTGTAAAAAGGAAGAGGAATTCAAAAAAATGTCCCTAAACAAATCTTTTCTTTACCTTTCAGTCTTCATCAAAGAAGAACGTAGGATATTTGAACATCGAGAGAACTTAAGATAAAGGTGAAATGAATGACTGACTGAAATACGAAAACTAAGAAGAAGAAGACGATGTGAAATATTCAAATCAACGAAAAAGGCTAGACAGTGTTGCTGCGATCTACGAAGTCCCGGCAGGCTGCAGCGTACTGTCAAGCTGGAAAGGCTCCAAATAGGAACGCCCACAGTGGTGTAAACGCACGAATCGGGGCAGTCGTCGATGAATATCCTTTAGCATTGTATATGACCTATTTAGCTAAGATTTGTTATATGGGAAACAGTAGTGAATTAACGTCTCTAAAAGCATTCATGATTTCCAAAAACTGCCAATTCAGTTTTGTTGTTTTCGAGTATTTTGTCGAAAATCATACTACATGGTGACTTTCGATATAGCTTTGCTTAATCAGAAGGACTAGGTAACAAAGTTTGTGGAAATGTAAGTTTTCATTATTGCGACGTCTCACATTTGTGGACTATGAAACAGTGAGTGAAGCCCAACTGATCTTCAATTTTCACCTTCTCAGTTCTTGGCTGTCCGTAATAGACCGCTAATTGCCTCAACAAAGAGTGGTTTCAGCTCTCTGGCAAAATTAGGAAGAAGTAACAAGATCCAAAGATCAAAAACAAACCTTTTTTTCTCGTTCACTCATATCCGTGGCGGTTGTTTCACCATCTTCACTAGTTTCGCCACGCGATTTTACTTTCGCAGAGATTGAACTGCGTTTACTTGTTTTGTATGGACTTCTTTGCGGAGTGTGAGGGAGCTTGGGGGTTCGTACACGCTTTACTGGAGGACTTTGGCTTTTCGGAGACCATGGAACCTGAAAAGTTGTAATCGGCGATAAGAGCACTCAGAAAAATATTAAAAGTTTGCATGAGGTGCTCTGTTTTGCATACCCATGTCCAAGTAAAGCAAAAAGAAAAACTTTACAAATGTGCTATAAATTGAACCATAAGCCATGCAAGACATGCAAGCAACTCAGATGATCGCCGGGGGCAGGCGGCCATGCGATTTTTTGGGCAAGCGAGCACCGAAAAGATAGTTAGCTGATTTCTTGCGATCCGCTTGCAGTAATTTGGAAAAATGTTGGCCAATTTTTAGACGAATGCTCGGCGAACTATCGCGGTTTCTCTACAGATTAGTTGCGGCGCATGGCCGCATTCTCTCGCATTTTCCGCGAGAATATGCAAAATTATCGAGGGTCGCACGGTCCTTTGTGGATGACCGCACAACCCGTAGATACCTTCCGCTAAGAGAAAGTATTCCCTAACCTCGGGTAATTGAACCATCGATGACACCTCTGCCATATAGAGTCACCTTTGCTCGGCGTACGCCCGAAACTGCATAAAAAGAGTCCGAGCGCTCGCCGAAATTGTGGCCGCGCTTACTGAAAGAATTTGACGAGCGCCCGCAGAAAACTTTGTATTGCTGCCAGCTGGCAGAACATGCGACTGAAGGAAGTACCGCCCGCTGAAGGTTTGACACGCCCCAAAATCTGCTGACCCTGCAGAAAAGCGCGAGTTTGCGGTCCTCCCGCCCCGGCGATTATCTGAGGACTAGCTGGCGTACCCGGCTTCGCACGGGGCCAAACTTTGCACACATACACTTCGGGGCAGGGAGCGTGTCATACTCCACTTTTCGTTATCGATCGATGTCGATTTTACCGATTTTTATCGATTTTTTTGCAGAGTTCACCTACAGGGCTAGGAGTTGGCACAGGGGGGGAAGTGAGCATGGGGATTCCGAATACAATATTAGTTTTCAGAATTATCGATTACTTTTATTGATTTTATCGATTTTTTTTGTAAAGTTTGACCTGCGGGGCTGGGAGTTTGCACAGGAGGGTAATCGAGCATGCAGATTACGAACACAATATTAGTTTTCAGGATCGTCCATTACTTTTATCGATTTTATCGATTTTTTTTGTAAAGTTTGACCTGCGGGGCTGGGAGTTTGCACAGGGGGGGTAATCGAGCATGCAGATTACGAATACAATATTAGTTTTCAGGATCGTCCATTACTTTTATCGAATTTATCGATTTTTTGAAAATTTGAGCTAGGGGGCTGGAATTTGGCACAGGGGTGTAATCGAGCATGCTGATCACCCCCCTTGGGGGTGATCAGCATGCTCGATTACCCCCCCTGTGCCAACTCCCAGCCCCCTAGCTCAAACTTTGCAAAAAAATCGATAAAATCGATAAAAGTAATCGATAATCCCGAAAACCAATATTGTATTCGGAATCCCCATGCTCGATTACCCCCCTGTGCGAACTCCCAGCCCCGTAGCTCAAACTTTGCAAAAAAATCGATAAAATCGATAAAAGTAATCGATAATCCTGAAAACCAATATTGTATTCGGAATCCCCATGCTCGATTACCCCCCTGTGCCAACTCCCAGCCCCGTAGCTCAAACTTTGCAAAAAAATCGATAAAATCGATAAAAGTAATGCACGATTTTAAAAACTAGTATTCGTAATCAGCATGCTCGATTACCCCCTTGTGCAAACTCCCAGCCCCGCAGGTCAAACTCTACAAAAAATCGATGAAATCGATAAAAGTGATCGGTGATTCTGGAAAATAATATTGTATTCGGAATCCCCATGCTCGATTACCCCCCTGTGCCAACTCCCAGCCCCGTAGCTCAAACTTTGCAAAAAAATCGATAAAATCGATAAAAGTAATCGATAATCCTGAAAACCAATATTGTATTCGGAATCCCCATGCTCGATTACCCCCCTGTGCCAACTCCCGGCCCCGTAGGTGAACTCAGCAAAAAAATCGATAAAAATCGATAAAATCGATATCGATCGATAACGAAAAGTAGCCTATGACACGCTCCCTGCCCCGAAGTATATGTGTGCCAAGTTTGGTCCCGATCGGTTCAGAAATAAAAATTTCTATTCCGCACATACGTACAGACATACATACAGACATACAGACAGACATTCAGCTTTATATATAAGAATATGGATTCCTCATGGCGAGAAGGCTTCGAAAAAGTGAAAAACGGAAAAACGTAATTCTGTCGAGACACTGCCCTTGAATCCGAAATCATCTGCGGACGACCTAGTCTGTTATGACATCAAGGTTTAGTCGCTCGATTTGTGCATAGAATGCGCCCTCTAAAGCTGATCTCAAACTTGTCTTATTCGTCATTCTAACCTTTTTTCAAGCGAAGTTATAAAGACTTGTTCCCATCCCTTTCTCCTCGCCAAAACTTTGCCAAATTTCCCAATGCTAGCGCTCTTGACTGTCTCCTGCGGATACAGACGGCACTGCACCGCATCCGTCATAAATTATCGTGGTAGTGTCTTTGAGGTTCGTGCTCACCTTTAGCCATGGGGATCTAGGCAAAAAATGCTCATAACCTTACGCAGAAGGACACAACAGATACCCAACAAGAATATGAGTTCGCTTGAAGAAAGTATGCTGATAATCTTGTCTTAAAAAGGCATGGTTGCTTAGCATCCTGTTCTCTTGTTTGTTCACTCGCTAGAAGGGAACGGAGCGGAACCACTTTTGACCCAGTTTGCATGCGATAATTTCGTTTTGACTAGCGACCCTTTGGGCGCTCGCAAGGGGGTCGAGGGCAGATACTTAAATAGCTGTCTAGTAGTCACCACGGATACCTCTACATTTACATCTTCTCTGAAAGCTACTTCTAAAAATCCACTTTCTTTCATAAAAGGGTCTCGCAGAAATTGAAAAACTCAAAAATCATTTAACATCTCTTAGGAGTTCTGTCACAACCTTGAAAGGTTTTGGGAGAGAATGGTATTCTTTGAATACGCCTTCTTATCAAAATCTCCTCTTTACAGAAATATTCGAAATAAAAGAACTCTCTCCACGCCTAGAAATCTTTCTCAAGGAATAGTTGGAGTTTTCTCAAGTTATGATGAGTAATATATCATCATAAAAACAAAATACATTTTCCAAAAGCCACGATTCTTCCTGTGCTATCTTATCAAATATTGTGCGCGTTCCGGACATCGTGAAACTCGAATCATCGATAACTTTTGACTCCCTTTCGAAATCTTATTTGAAACAACTTTTTTCCACTGATGTCCACTGAGAATCACCTCAAAGGCATCAAAAATCACAAAACGCGATGTATCCTACACTCAGCCCAATACTTTAAAAAATGCCTTAGTTTTCGGAGAATTTCGGCAGTGAAAACAAACATAGTCTTCTCTGCAAACCTGTTGAAAACCAAAAAAGAAAGAACGAAAGAATTGTCGTCATTATTCATAACCGACTTTTAGTGAATGGTAAGAGCAGCTAAGGATACTCTAGCAGAAAGAGTATGAAAGACTAGCATGAACATGTGAGGGACTACTACGGCATGTCGAAAACCAAACTGGTGATGCCAACAGCAGAAACTCACACTCGTCCCAATTCAACATCCCCAACAGGTAGAGGGTTTGGTCGGCTCAGGGGCAATATTGAACATACAGCTTGAAGCAGCGATACCACCTCATGCAAATCGCATAATACCTCCGGAGGACAGTGAAAATATGGCACACCTCCAGAGGGCGCTCTTAAAGGCACCGTCCACCCTAAGTTGAGGATGTTGAGCTTTTGACAGCATATAACAGTAGGGCTTCCTATCAAGCCAATGCTCAAGTCGCGGCGCAAAATGCCGCTTTAGAAGCGAGAAAATCGCTTCGGAATAGCGAAGATGCACGAGGACCCCTATCCATGCCCGCCCATTTGTGCGCGCTCATCCAACCACCGTTTTGGAAAGCCGGCCTGTGGGTTCTCCGGAATAGGGATTTTTGGGGTTTTCGCGGATTCTCGACTTCATACTTGGAATCAGGGACATGAGGAGGCCCTGAAACGACAAAAACCTGGAAGTCGAGAATCTGGGTGGACTGCCTTTAAAGGCAATGTTCGGGCAAAAACTCGATTTTGAGATTTTGTGCTTACCCGGGCCTATTCGCTATGCTGAATCCGAAAATCCACACTGGAAAGCGCGAAAACGGCGAAAAAGGGCTCTAACGCAGGAGGGAAATCAGAAGTGGGCGGGGTCTTCCCCAGGGTGAATTCACGGTCCCAGCTCCCGGAGCGATCTTTTCGCTTCCGACTTCAGATCATGCATTCGCACTTGGTCCGTTGAGATGTCAGGGCGGTTAGTGGAATTGAAAAGATCGCTCAGAAAGCTGGGACCGTGAATTCAACCTTGGGGAAGACCTCGCCCACTTTTGATTTCACTCCTGCGTTAGAGCCCTTTTTCGCCGTTTTCTCGCTTTCCAATGTGGATATTCGGATTTAGCATAGGGAATAGGCCCGTATAAGCACAAAATCTCAAAATCGAGTTTTTGCCCGGACACTGCCTTCCTTTAAAGGGGCAGTGTCCGAGCAAAAACTCCTGCCCCATTGCCTGCAAAAAGTCGATTTTGAGATTTTGTGCTTTCCCGGGCCAATCCGCCACGCTGAATCCGAACATCCACACTAGAGAGCGCGAAAACGGCGAAAAAGGGCTCTAATGCAGCAGGAAAATCAGGAGGTGGGCGGAGTCTTCCCCACTGTGAATTCACGCTCCAAGCTTCTGGAGCGGTTTTATCGATTTCGCTAGCCGCTGACATCTCCATCGGCCAAGTACGAACGCTTGAATTGAAATCGGAACCGAGAAGATCGCTCTGGAAGCTGGGAGCGTGAATTCACAGTGGGGAGGACTCCGCCCACCTGCTAATTTCTCTTTTGCGTTAGAGCCGTTTTTCGCCGTTTTCGCGCTCTCCAATGTGCATTTTCGGATTCAGCGCAGAGAATTGGTCCGGAGAAGCACAGAATCTCAAAATCGAGTTTTTGCCCGGACACTGCCTTTAACCATTGGAGGGGGGGGGAATGATTAAGTCACCCGCGCGTCCGTCTTTGTTACCCAGCTTTCAAACAGTCTCTTTTCCATTTCTTCCACGTCTTTCACTTCGTCTCCGTCGCTCTTCGCAACCATCAACATCGAGATCAACTCATCTCCTCTCCAGGTAAAATACTAGGTGATTTTAGTGGTAATCTAACATGGGATAGCACAAATCGCTCGTGAAGTTTTTTCAGCACTCTGCATCTGACTGTGTACGGTTGCACTCTTCAACCTTTTGACAAGCACCGTCCTTTGGATCATATCAAGGTGAGTACTCCTTTGGTTTGTACGTCTGTGAGTTCAACCGGCTCATCCAGCACCCCATCCACTAATTCACCAGTGAGACCAATAGTGGAAGGGGTGAACCGGATAAAAATCGGATAAATCTGATATAGGCCTGAGGTACCAAAGTGATTTGTTGTGGGGTTACAATTAGAAACGTAAAAGATTAGGTGCAGCAGGCTTTCTTGCCTTGAAGCAATTTTACGGGAACAATTAAGAGCGATGTAGAGTGGTGCCACGATCTCTTTTTGTCATTACGTGAGTGAGTCAGATAAGGAACATGATTCTCTTGAAAATGAATATAATTTATCTCATATGCATCTTCTACGGTAACGTATTTTCCGTGTTACAGTGCAGTGGGTATACGGCACATGGCTGGAAATTGCGAATTTTGAACTAAGGACTCTCCCTTACGAGTTCTAGAGCGCAGATTTTGGATATCATACTCTTTTTACGTTTCGAATCCTTTTTACGGGAATTTTCTGGTTTCCTCCTTGTTTGTGTCCACTGTTTTAGTGCTTTTCGAACGCTAATAATCACACATAGGGGACAGAGGGTTGGTATCGCTATTATACTGTACTCATTCCACCCAGAACCACATGCTCGCACGCTATAAGTAGCGTCTCCTCGCTGATATTGATTGGTTGCGTCATGCCGACGGACGAAACACTTCGAAAATTTGGCGAAAACTGCGAAAAGGCGCTCACGATGTTCGCCTCATCTTTCAATGCGATTTATACTCGATACTCACTGATTATGCGCTCGAAATTATTTCAGCCAGCTTCGCTTCTTCTTTTTCGACTTCTTCGTCGACATCACAGACGTCTAAGACAATGGTAAGTTAAGTTTTTACCGAGAAATTGAATACTGTAGCTGCCAGATTGGTGCAGATTGCAAAAGCGGCTCTTTAGGAAATGCTGCTGGTTGCTTGAAAGTGCCCTAGGGTTCTTCTGCCGTTGTTTGTTTGGGAATACTTTTACGATCTTTTCGTTGTGGGATTTTAGTGGTAGAACAGTGTGAGCTCTGAGATTCTAGTAATAAAATAGCGTGTCTCTCTTCGTTCCGTTCTTTCGTCGAGTTTTCTTTGCAAATAGTGGAGATTTCGAGTGAACCGTGGCTATAGTTGCTATCAATTTAGTTATCATAAATTACGATGGCATGTCTTTGCTTAGTTTTTACTTATACAAGAATTTGACAAAGCCGCTTTGAGTCATTGCAAAGGGTTGTTTCAGACTGCCGCACTGATTGCAGCAGACTGCAGCAGACTGCAGCTGACTATAGCTGACCGCACTAACTGCAGCAGACTGCAGCAGACTGCAGCAGACCGCACCGACCGCAACGGCCGCAGCATGTTCGCGTAGGAAGGAAGAGCGACTGCTAGCAAAGTGGGCAAGCAAAGTAGTAAATTCTCCGTTATTTACGTTGAAGGACCCCTTTTCACTTTACATCTTTGGCAATCAGTTAATAAATTTGATCTTGATACATTCCATATCAACTCAGGAGAAAGATAAGTATCATTAAAACATGCAGACCTAGATATTTAGTGGAAGTACCAAAAATGGATAAATTTTAGCAATAAGTCATAACTAAAGTACTCAACACTATTAGTCACAAGGTGTTGAACAAATTAATAGCCAAAGGAAAGATACGAGGCATTCTGATTGTCTTTTTCGGTCGCGTTGGCTATGTACAGCTAAGATCAGCGCCGGATTCCAACGGATAATGGTTTTCAGCGAGAGCATTACAAAACAAACATATGCAATAATAGGAGAAATCAGAACAAATACGAACATAGTAACGAAAAACAATTGCCAAAGTTTGATTGAGAAGAGTAAGTTAGAACTTATAATCTTCTAGGCGTAAGTCACGGCGTTTTGACGTAATCACAGGTGCTTTCTCTTTTACGAAAGAATGCAGGGACCGGTGCGGCCACTCGATCAGTACTGTCAGCTGCAGTCCTCTGCAGTCTGCTGCAGTCAGCTGCAGTTAGTGCGGTCTGTTGCAGTCTGCTGGGGTGTAGGCCCTTCTGAACCTGCCCCAATCGCGACGGCTATAAGAGGTCAGCGCTAATCAGAGGTCACTCCATCATTGGCTAGCTCGCGGGAGCGAGCGGCTGACCTGGGTAGATGCGCTGCGGAGGCGGACGAGTTTCACATCGCTGGGAACCTACTCCACAGATTCTGGAGGTAATTCTCTAGAAAATTCCTAAATTCCCCAAATTTTTTAGAATTCAATAACTTAAGTTATTCGCTCTACTCCACACTACTTAATTCGCCGGCCACTCCTGGTATGTTTTTGACCTATGAGACATTTTCAATGTCTTTTTCGACTTATTTTACTGTTTTTTTTGTTCGATTGCATACTCTACTCTCCTACGTCTGCCTCCTTGCAGCATCATCTAGTCACATTCAATTGAAATGTGCACTACATGCATGCCAGTAGGGAAGCACACGTTTTTTTATAATGAGTATGAAGTTTTTTTTACACCGTCCATATCAAAAACGCAATCAGATAAAAATGCATCACCTTCATTTGGTAGCGTGATCTACATGGATTGATTTTGATAGCGATCTTTTGTTTGCTGCACGCATCATGCTTTTTATAGCGTAAGAATTTCAAATGCACGTTCGTAAATTTTACTAGGAATGAGAATTTTGAGGAGATGTTACTTTTCTTGGAAAGCTACAGAGATGCACTGAAGTGTCAGAAGGAAATACGCATTTGATAACGAATTAGCGTAGATCACCAAATTGAGTTATAATTGGCCTTTAAAAAGAGTTGTTACACAAACTTTGATTACGTGGGCTTTCCTCAATAACATCAAGCAGCTCACATTAGCAATATGATGTGACGATGCACGAAGTTATAAGGATCGCACACACAAGGGATATAAGTGGAAAAAAAGCAAAAAAAAACAGAGTTCGAAAGAATCCAAAGGAGATTCACGAGAAGTTTTTTTTATGGACCATGGAAATGAAAAGACCTCGAAAATGTCCCATAAATCTAAACATACCTGCTGGGAAGTAGGGCTCAGAATACCAAACATTCAGAGGATGGTACTGTGCGTTGAATTCAGCGTGATTGGCTTGCATTCCATAATGCAAGAGCCGCACGAAAGGAGTTGGTGATTTTCGAAAATACGAGCCCTTCGCGGAGCACTCGTCCGCAGTCATCGCAGCGCATGCGCGCGCGTCCTAGTTCTGGATTACTGTAGGGGACGGTGGGTTCAGAAGGGCCGTCTCCCGTCTGCTGCAGTCTGCTGCGGTCAGTGCGGCAGTATGAAACAACCCAAAGGTTGTATGCTTTTCCCTGATGACTTCCGATTTCCTTGGTCTGCTGGTGAATCACAGAGACATACTGTTAGTTTTCAGCACCAGGACCCCATTTAATCACATGCCCTTTAGTGGAAAAGTATTTAAAACCATGGTGAAAGGCTTGCTCTGGGCGCAAGGAAGGGTCATTGTTGTTCTAGGACTTTTTTCGGTTCGGAGTGGTCTACGAAATCTCCGATTAAAGTTTGATGATTGGGCAATTGAAAATTGTGTCTATGATTTATGTCATGCGAGCGTCAGCAGAGTACGGTATCATGAAGTTTGTGTGGATTTCGTCGCAGTGAGCATAATTTACTGGCAAATATCTTACAAGGGAAGTTCGCCGAATCGAAATGGCCGCTTGATACGTGGGGTATACCAGGACGCGGGGCTCGGAAGGTTAGAAATGTGCGCCCATTAGCTGCGACGCGTTATTGTGAAGCAAGTTATGGCTCTCTGAAGTTTTTGGCGTGTGCATGTCTAGAGAACGCACAAATGCTCAGACTGTGGTCGTGTGGTGTAGTGGTTAGCGTCTCGGACTCACAGGTGACCGGTGAGGGTTCGAATCCTGTTGCTGTCCACATGTTTTGCGTTCTTCTCAAAATTCATTTTTTTTCCTGTTTTATGCAATACTGAGGTAAAATATGACACATACGGGTGGTTAAACACTACTAATTATACATCCTGCCGTGTCATTCTCACAAGGTAGCCCACTAGCAAGAATCAATAGTACGACGTGATACAACTTGGGATTGTCACGTAAATACTACGTGCAATCAAAGATAGTATGGGGAGTGAGGATTTGGCAAATCTTCAAAGTCAACTGAAAAGCCGTCGCTAAAAAGTCGTTGCTATGTTTTATGAAAATTTTACATATGAAGCATTGGTCGCATTTTCGTGAGAAAAATCATCCCGTAACCCGTGTGTGTCATTTTTTACCTCATTAATACATAAAACAGGTAAAAATGAATTTTGAGAAGAACGCAAAACATGTGGACAGCAACAGGATTCGAACCCTCACCGGTCACCTGTGAGTCCGAGACGCTAACCACTACACCACACGACCACAGTCTGAGCATTTGTGCGTTCTCTAGACATGCACACGCCAAAAACTTCAGAGAGCCATAACTTGCTTCACAATAACGCGTCGCAGCTAATGGGCGCACATTTGATACTAACCTTCCGAGCCCCGCGTCCGGGTATATACCACGTATCAATCGGCCATTTCGATTCGGCGAACTTCCCTTGTTAGGGCAACAATCATCCCATGGGAAACCAACCAAAAGTTCTGTTTATTGAATACACGCAATGGTCTTTGAATAAATGGTTGTTCTTTTAGTTTTGACACTGATTATGTACATAAGAGTGTGGAAAGTTTGAGATCTTTTATACGTTTGCGTTTCGTTTGTTAACGTACTCAAGCCGTATAAATCTAACGGTCCCAAAGTCTCCTTTATTCTCGTTACTGAATTCCGAAAAACGCTGTCACCATTCTCGTTCTTGTTTGATATGACAACAAAAGGTTTCCAAAATCCGTCGGCGATTGCTGGCGAGAGATACTTGCGCTCCAGTCTGTGGTACAAGTTTTCGACTATTACCAGTTAGTATAATCTCAAGTAGTCACATAGCAGCTGTGGAACCGCTCAAATCGTTGTCGTCGCGCAAAAGCTCGGCTATGGTATGCGTATAAGTGTTGTTGTAAGCACTTCAATTTTTTCAAAGTTTACTTCGATCTGCTATGGTATAGCATTTGATCAATTTAATTTTGACTCTGCCTCGGGCACACTTCACGTAATTTTAGTCGCGATGAGATCTGGAAATTTGCCAGATGTCTCCAAAACTTTCATAGATTACCAATGCAAATGATGTAGTATTTCTATAGACTGATAAAATGCCTTACCTTTTGCATGTTCAGAGTAAATAGTTGGTACTGCCAAATCGCGCCGCGACTGAAATCGCGTGAAGTATGCTCAGGACTTTCAATCTAATTAATGTATAATTGCTTGCTGTTGCTACAGTTCATAGTTGAGCTTCCGCCTAAAGTACATTTCCTACCAATGTAGGTACCAATTGAGAGTTGGTGAATTGGGACTAGTTTTTCGCAGTTAGTAGCTCTTACACAGAGCCATCTTCCTAATGTTAACACTACGCCCACCTTTTTAGATTTGAATTCACCTTTTAGACCTTATGAGGATAGGACCTGATACCCTAGTATGCATTAAAGGCAGCGCCCAGGCAAGTCTGCACACATGGGGATATCACGTGGATAGTAATTTGGGGCCCTAACTAAGCCACTGCCTAGCCGGCAGCTCAGGTAGTGCTCTAACAGCTGAGATATTTCCCTTGAAACTGGATCCCAAAATCGTACTTTGCATGGATTCATGGCGCAAAGCGTGTGCTGGCGCGAAACTGCCATGAAGCCATGCGAATACGATTGCGGGGTCCACTTTCGAAGGGATTATCTCAGCCGTTAGAGCACTACCTCCGCTGCCGCTTAAGCAGTGCCTTAGTTATGGTTTATTATGGTTATTATGGTTAGGAGCTAGGACCCCAAAAGTACTTTTCAGTAAAATCCCCATAGGCCCAGATCTGCCTGGACGCTGCCTTTGATCCTGGGATTTGGCAAATATTTTTCTTATTTTTGTTGCAAAAAGGTTTTGAGTCAATGAATTACAATTGTTTAGTGCATACGGTTCGGTTTTCAGTTTTGCTGATTGATTCCACGAGTCCTTAAGAGAGAGAGAGAGAGAAAGAGAGAGAGAGAGAGAGAGAGAGAGAGATAGGTGTGTGTGGGATCTTGCTTATGAATTAGGGTTAGTAGTGAACCAGCAAACTAAAGGTGCTAGATTGCAGGCGCACATTTCGGAACCCGCCGCGGTTTTCCGCTATCTGATGTTTTTGAAATGGCGTTACGATTTTTTACATATTAGATTGTGACTGCGGCATTAGAGTCTCTCAGGGGTTCGAAAATAAGTTTTCTCCCTCCAAACTTTTTTTTGCAGCATTATTATGGTTTGATTAGTGCTAGCGCAATGTTCTGTATTCAATTACAGGAGCTGTCTGACTCGTATCTGCTAGTTTCCGCTTGGTGGCGGCTTATACGTGAAGAGATGCGGATTTGCTCTGTGAAGTGAACTAGGTTGCGATAGTTGATCTTGCACGGTGTCTCTCAGGGAGTTGAAAGCCACTACAAAAGGTTAGTTATTGATGTATATGTACACTTGAATTTAACGCCGTTATGTGTCTAGGCTTTCGTCGATCTTTATCTCCCAGCTATCTGTTTCACAAGCAATGGCTCTGCATTCGAAAGAAAATGATTTCTTTTCAGCTCCCCGGCCTCCAACTTCACATAATGTTTTCACTCTCTTCTAATTTTTGAATGTTCATTTCTTCCTCATATCTTCTATGTCTCTCCTAATTATTCCCATGTTGTATTCGTTGTTATGACACCAACCGTTTTCTTATATGTGGAATTTTTTTGTCTCATTTTTAGATCTATTTCAATACTTTTCTCCCTGCAAAACGAGTGCTTCTGTTACCATCGTGTTTTTCCCATCTCATTCTCATTCATTAACAGAACTTTTGTTTACTATTTTACTAATACAAATAAATAGTTCAGTCGGGATTGGGTAGAGATAGTGTGGATGGGTTTAAAGGCAGCGTCCAGGCAAGTCTGGACACGTGGGGATCTCACTTGGATAGTGATTGTGGGACCCTAACTAAGGCACTGCCTAGCCGGTAGCTCAGGTAGTGCTCGAACGGCTGAGATATCCCTCGAAACTGGATCCCAGGATTGTTCGCATGGCTTCATGGCGCAACGCATGGGTCCTCGCGCGAAACTGCCATGAATCCATGCGAATACAATCCTGGGGTCCAATTTGGAGGATTTTTTTTGCTTAAGCAGTGCCTTAGTTAGAGCCCCAAAAATTGCTTTCCATCTAAAATCCCCATAGGTCCAGATTTGCCTAGACGCCGCCTTTGAGGGGCTAAAACAGGGCTTTGTAGCTTAATTAGGGATAGTTTTACAGCATGCCGCGGGGACCCAGAGCAGAAATATAGGAAGGACCCGGAGAACGATTGTCCCACCTCCGCGGGGGAGACCCCGGCGGCTACCCAATTTGTCCTCCGGAGGTATGCCGTCGACTGTCTGAGACTGAGTCACTCTTTCCCTGATCTCAAAATGTTTTCATTTTTAGCGGGGAAAGGTCATTTGCATTTAACACTGGATTGGATGTTGAAAGGATAATCTCCCAATACTTTATCCAAATAATCCTCCCAACTTGGTTTAACTCACCAACTTCGTGGGCGATCTCCCTTCATCACGCTCGGCTTTGGCATCAGAAGCCTTGGATGGACTCGACAGGCGCAATGTGGTACCGTCTGAAGCAGATCTCATGAAAAAAAATTAGACAAACTCATCTAATACCACATCTTACATACAGGCTGGATCACCCACCATCGCCTGTAAAAACCCACGAGATGAGGCTTCACGCGCGGCGCAGGCAGCGAAAATGGTGGTGAAATCTGCGGCTAGGCGACTTACGCTTTATATCAATTGTTTCTTGTTCACTCTCACGGAATTTTTCTTTACGTAACTCAAAACCTTCATTTTTAGTTTTGAATGCATGCAAGATGTTTAGATACGTTTTCCATATTTCTTGCAGTATAATCAGCACCGGCACCCGTTATCTCCTTGCTTTCCCATTTGCTAAGAGATCAGACATTAAAAGTGTGAACTGCGGTTGAAGATTGCGGTTAACAGACTACCATATCGTTTATCAGCTTGAAAGCTCGAAAACGCAAGCACACAGTATTCAATCTCGTGATGTTATCCTCCATGTCCAAGAGTACCTACGATGTAACAGAGTAAAAGCATCATTGAGTCAATTACACCTGTTTGAAGCGTTCCTAACTCTCCTTTCTATAACGGGTGATAACCAACTTCTATGCACGCAAAAGAATACTTAAGGCAGTGGTCGGGAAAATTGCGACTGCGGGTTTTCCACTACTACATGGCCTTCGGGACCAGCTGAGTCCGGTACTGTGCTTGAAAATTCAAAAAAGTGCTTTTTTGGCATTTCCGGGCCTTGGAGATTGCTGGGGGGGGGGGGAGGGATCCATCCCAAAAGGAGCAACTGGCTGTTGGAGACTGTAACTCCATCTATTTTGGCGGCAGACTATCGGCAGACAGAGTATCGCGATGCCTGCCTTAATCAGCCAGTTGCCGCCAAAATAGGTGGAGTTACAGTCTCCAGCAGCCAGTTGCTCCTTTTGGGGTGAATCCCTCGCTCCGCCCCCTCAGATAATCGCCGGGGGGCAGGCGGTCATGCGATTTATGGGCGGGCAGACATCGGAAAAATAGTTCGCTGTTTTCTTGCGGTCCACTTGCAGATATTTGGAGGAATTTTAGCGAGATTTTAGATGAATGCTTGGAGAACAATTGCGGCTTCCTTATAGATTAGCTGCGGCGCAACCGCATTCTCGCGGGACTTTCCTGAGAATATGCAGTTTGAGGGCCGCACGGTCCTTTGTGGAGAACCGCGCAGCCATAACTTTCGCGAGAAAAAAGTACCTCAAAACTTGGATAATAAGAACCACCGATGACAGCTCCGCCACACAGAGCCTCACCATTGCTCGGCGTACGCTCGAAACCGCGTTAAAGGAGTTTGAGCGCCTGCTGAAAGTTTGACCAGGGTTTGCTGAAAGAGATTACTTGACAAGCGCTTGCAGAAAATTTTGTATTGCTGCCCGCTGGCGGAACACGGAAGTACCGCTCGCTGAAGGTTTGGCCACGCCCCAAAATTCTGCTAACCGTTTGCAGAAAAGCGCGAATTTGCGGACCCCGGCCCCCGGCTATTATCTGAGTAGCAATCTTCAAGACCGGAACGCCAAAAAGCACTTTTTTGACCTTTCAAGCGAAGTACCGGACTCAGCTAGTCCAAAAGGCCATGTAGTCGTGAAAAGCCCGTAGTCGCAATTTTCCCGAGCCACTGCCTTTGAAGACAGCGTCCAGGCAAATCTGGACATACAGGGTTCTGATGTGGATAGTAATTTTGGGCCTCAAGTAAAACACTGCCCAAACGGCAACTCAAACGGTGAACTCACAGTTGAGATATCAGCCTGCAAACTGGTCCCCGAGATCGTATTCGCAAGGATTTATGGAGCGACAAGCGGGGTCCTCGCGCGAAAGTGATGTGTGGCGCCATGAATCCATGCATATACGGTCCCGGGGTCCAGTTTGGAGGAGAATATCTCAACTGTGAGCTCACCGTTTGAGCTGCCGCTTGGGCAGTGTTCTAGTTAGGGCTCCAAGATTACCCTCCATGTGGGATCTCCACAGGCCCAGATTCGCCTGACGCTGCCTTTATTTACTTCTGCTCGAATAGCCTCCATGCACAGTCTCCATAAAAACTGTGTGTCCTTTTAAGACAAGCGAGAACGAAAACAAAGTCCAGAGCAAAAGATAAGCAACAGCAAGATAGCAAAAGATAACTTCGATCGTGAGTCTGAGCACAGGACCAACTACTGCGCTCGAGTCCCATTTCCAATGTATGCGACGCGACGCGCGCGCAGTCTCATCTCGTGGTTTTCTGCAACCATAGTAGGTGGGGTGGTACACCTACATGTAGCTGAATATCTTTTGTTTGTACTCATGTTTGTGCGTGCCCTGTCTGTGGGTAAAGGCTACTGCATGATAAAGGCGCAAAAGGAATCTCGAGCAGGCGCGAACGCGGCGCGCGTATCCTCACCCTTGTATCCCTGCGAATCGTGCGCTCTGCGGCTAATGAAGCCACGTTCATGTCCAAAGATATTGCGCCTTCGCCTTTTGCGCCTTGCAGCAGCCTATATTTCGCACGAAAAAATCTATTTCTCAATCGAACAAACTTTTTGCACACATACACTTCGGGGTGGGACGGGTGTCGTATCTACTTTGCGTAACCAATCGGTAGTGGGAAGGGTTGGCTAGTGCTAATTGCAAATGCAACATTACATTGAGAAGTAATTGATCACATCTATCGATTTTATAGATTTCGCAAACTTTGAGCTACGGAGTTGGCAATGGGGCAGTGAGCGTGTTATTAACGAAAGCAACATTAACGTGGAAAACCAATCGCTAGTGCCGATTTTACGATCTTTTTGCAGTTTCTGCAGAAAACTCTATCGTTGCACACTCTATTATTCAGAAGAGTTTGCAATGATTTGCTTTTCGCATATTGAAAAGGGAAACTAATTTGAGCGCCAGTAAGTACTGGAGGTCCCGGCCACGCTCATCTAGAAGAGCTGCTTCTAACCTAGATTGTGGAAGGATGTTTAGAAAACACCATTCACTAGATTTCAACTTTTTTCTGCCGGACCGCCAGATGGCTTGATCTCTTGCCATACGAGGTTAATTCAGCCAATAGCAAAAGTTTTAGATGCAGACTGCAAAAATCATTGCGACGTAATTGCTCGAGAGTAAGCGGCTAAAGGCTGTTTGCTTTGAAGCAGTTAAGCCATAAATCATATTCAGCTATGCCCGGATGCTCAAGAACAGCGACCTTATAGTCACTTGTCTTGAACAATTGGGCGCCCTGCGTCTGTAGTTTAGGTGGTCTTGAGCGTGTTAGCATGCAGTGGATATTCTTCTGACCTAGTCTATCTGATATTCATGGTTCGATTGACAGTTTCGTGGGTTTCGGCTGGGTGGTTGTGACAACTAATGGTTGCTACAGTATGGAGCAATCGCCTTCTGCTGTGTTGGACTTGCTTTTTGTCTAGTAAAGGTTGATCATGGCTAGACTAATCTATTATTGCTTTACTGTTTGAACTAACTACAAGCTTTGTTTGTTTCTGTTTCTTCTATGGCTTTACTTGATCGTAGAAACCGGGGAAATTGAAGCTGACTTTAGGTGAAGTAACTGGAAAATAGGAGAAGCGGTATACATGGAAATCCCGTACAACCAGTTTCTAGGGAGAAGCAGAACTCCGATAGCGGAGAAAAGCTTGCATAGTGCAAAAGGTTGATCGAGCCTAACAAGCTATTCCCAGGTAAAACAGAAGGGGGTGCACCGGACTCTACCCAACGTGTGGACAAAGTATAAATATAATCAAACACCAACATCAGAACAGTTTGCTAATACTGGATAGTAAAAATCGCCTTTTCGGGCAAGCAGGGGGCATGGGACAAACTCCACTGAGTCTTTAATTTGAGTGATTACTCCATAGCTAGTCTATACAAGCGTGATTCCTTATTTTCTTCATAACTATTTGGTGATTGGACTTGAGCTAACTTATTGATTTTTTAGTTTTGTTTTTGTATCTGTTCCTGTCAGTGGCGTACCCAGGATTTCGGCTCGGGGGGGGGGGGGCGCGACAAAAATTTTTTTCTAAAGAAGGTGCGTGGCGTTAGCCGCCCCCGAAAAAAAATTTTTTATAAGGCTAAAATGAATTTGTAAAAAATTTTAAAAATTATTACAAGTAAAAACAAGTCACTTGCACATTTTTATAACCCATGTAAGTAACTTTCAAAAATTTCGCGACCCGTTCTCGAGGAGGGGGGGCGCCCCGCCCCCCCGCCCCCCCCCCCTCGGTACGCCACTGGTTCCTGATTATGTTCTCAGTATTTCGTTTTATTAGGTTGTCCGGAAATTAATGCCCGTTTTGAATTTCAACCGCAAAAAGTCATACACGTCTCTCTTCTAAATGGGTTGCAAAGTACCATTCAATAGAGCAAAGCAATCTCTACAAGATGGCTATCTTGCTTTAGCAACAGCTCTGATCCACCACGAGTTTCGAGCCAAAAACTGAAAAGATTCAACTGCCCGAAAAATCGAGAAAAATCGTAACTCAGTTCGTAAAAATCCTACAAAAATTCTAACTTGCTCACGTAAACACTATCCACATAAAACATCTATATACGCCGTTGCCGTATTTTTTTCTCTGTTAGAAATCAAGAAAACGGAAATTTTTGTGCGTTTGCCAAAGTGGTGCTGTGCCGTTTCCACATAGGTGGTAGTATACCACAGACCTTTAGACGTACAAATGTAAATTTCCAGCTCTCTACAAGCTTTAGTTCGCGAGAAATTTGAATTTTAGCTTGGACCACATGACTAGGGAAAACTGTATTCGATATTTCTCGAGAACTAAAGCGTGCAGAGAGCTGGAAATTTACGTTTGTACTCCTAAAGGTCTGTAGTATACTACTACCTATGTGGGAACGGCACAGGATCACTTTGGCAAATGCACGAAAATTTCCGTTTTCTTGATTTCTAACAGAGGAAAAAATATGGCAAAGACGTATATAGATGTTTTATGTGGATAATGTTTACGTGAGCAAGTTAGAATTTTTGTAGGATTTTTACGAACTAAGTTACGATTTTTCTCATTTTTTCCGGCAGTTG